TTGATGCCAAAAACGCATGTGACCACCTTTCAGGATTCAATGTTTGTAACAGATACCTGGTGGTTTTGTACTATAATGCCAACAGGGTAAGTGTTAGTCACTATCCTCATCACGTGTGGACACCATGTAAGAATTAGAGTCCTTGAGGAGGGGGAGAGTGTACTGTACATGCTTTTCTGCCCAGTGCTGTCGCTGAAATTCATTTCACTACTTATCAGTAACTAAGTTAACTTTGGTGCTTACCACATTTTCAGGCATTTCAGAAGATGGACACAAAAAAGAAGGAAGAACAGTTGAAGCTTCTCAAGGAGAAATATGGCATCAACACAGATCCACCAAAATAAGCATTTTCTGCATTTTCATTTTGGACTAAACCCCATGAATTACCACCATCACCCTTTCTTTGTTTTGTAATTAATACTGTTTTGATTTCTTAATTGAGATTCAAAACAACCTGCTTGAAACTTTGATACATGTTAAAATATGTTACATGAATAAACTTGTAGCTTTTTGTAAAAGATGGCAAGGTTTTCTCTTGAACTTTCCCCTCTTATTTGGTCCCAGAAAAAAGACAAATCAGTAGTTGAACCACATCAAGAATTGTTTGATGGGAGGTGTTCATAGAGACCAAGCTTCTTTTTCTTTCTTTTTTTTTTTTTTTAATGTTTGTTTATTTTTGAAACAGAGGGAGAGCACAAGCGGCAGAGGCAGAGAGAGAGAGACACAGAATCCAAAGCAGGCTCCAGGCTCTGAGCTGTAAACCCAGAGCCTGAAGTGGGGCTCAGATGTACTAACTGTGAGATCATGACCTAAACTGAAGTTGGATGTTTAACTGATTGAGCCACCCAGGTGCCCCAAGACCAGGCTTCTTTAGAGCAGAGACTTTTTGTATTCTTAATGCCTCTGGTGTCCAGCCCAGCACTTAGCCATCATGGGAAATTTCTACAGTGTTCTCATTTATTGAATGTTAACAACTCAGTGAAGATGGGTATCTCCATTTTGCAGATAAGGAAATCAAAGCTCATTGTGTTGTTTGAATGAATGAAAGCTTACATAAAAAGTTGCTGTAACATCAACCAGTATTACCCACACCAATACATCTGAGTAATTAATACTTGCTTTACAGTTAACAAAACACCTTTGTCAGTATGGGTACCCCGTCGTTGAAACAGAAGTCAGTTCTAGAAATGGACATTCAGGTGACAGCACATTGTTAGAGATCTGAGGGCGAGCCCCTTGGGTAGTGGTGTTGGTTGTTACACGTCTAAGACTGTATTATTTAGTCTTTCCCTTTAGTTAACAAGTGTCGGTGAGTATCTTGGACCTTCCCTCATAGTATATCTTTGCCATAAATAGAATATTTAATGCTTGTTCTTATATGCTCCCATGGCACGGAAATTGTATGGTTACTACCACATTCATCACAGCTTGGCAGCTTGGAGGACAGCTATAATTTTCTCTATAGTTTAGGCATGGCCAAATGGAAAAACATGGACCAATTGTTTTGGATATAACTATGACCCCAAATCGGTTTGAAGGGTATAAGCACTGAATCATGCAAATGTACAAAAAGTATCTATTTTACTTTTAAATGCATTTAGCTTTAAGAAAATAAGCTGTTTTCAAAGCCTATTGAAAATGAAGGAATTACCGTTATCTACTAATTATGTCAGTGCTTTTTGAAAGCACTATAAAAGAGTAATTTCTAAAAAGGGCAGGGAGATGACAAAGGAAACCATAGCTTTAATTTTCTTATAAATGCCTTTATGAATTCCTTATTTTTGTAATACATGGTGCACCTTTACATATTTACTAATTTTAAAAGTAATCTTCTAAAAGGCTTTTTGGTGGGTGCCTGGGTGGCTCAGTCGATTAAGCATCTGAACAGCTCAGGTCATGATCTCACAGTTCGTAAGCTTGAGCCCCATGTCGGGCTCTTCGGGCTCTTGAGCCCACTTCAGATCCTCTGTCTCCCTGTCTCTGCCCCTCCCCATCTTGCTCTCTCTCTCTCTCTCATAAAAATAAATAACATTAAAGGCTTTTTGGTAAGGGGAAAACAGACTTCAGTATGCTTTGTCTACGTGCAGACTGGCTTGCCTCTAGGGCAGTTGTTTTAATAACAAGGGAAAATTGCTTCTATTGACAGTGATGGCCAGTCCATCATTTGGATTTGTCTGTCAGCTGAATTTCATGACCCAGCCTAAGAGCTTTAAAAATTCCAATAGTTTGGTAATTTTGTGGCCTGTCCCAGTTAAGCTATAAGAACGTTAATTCTATAGATAAACATTGAACACCTGCTCTGCCAGGTCTGTGTGTGCTGTGATGCTGAGGATATACTTAAAGTCAGTCCACTTCACCAGGCATTCAAGCCTCAGCTTTTCAAACTGCTTTTAAGAGTGCAAGGGGTGGGGCGCCTGGGTGGCTCACTCAGCTAAGCGTCCTGCTCTCTATCTTGGCTCAGATTGCAATCTCATGATTTGGATGGAGCCACATGGATGTCATTTCTACGGAGCCCACTCTCCACGCCCCTCCTGAGTTCACTGTTCCCTGCTGTCACTCCGAGTCTGATGGGGACGGGCAACTAGGGTGTGACTGTGGACTCTGGGCTCAGAAGGCCGCAGGCCTGTGACCCTGGTGGATGTACTCTGGTGACCCGAGCACGCCTCCCAGGCCAGCTGCCCTTTCTACCAGACGGAGGATGGTGCCATACTCTCAGGAGGCTCCGGCCACCCCAGAGCCTGGCACAGGGTCAGCGTGGACATCATTTCCACTAAGTCATGTGAACAACGGACCTCGGTACTTTACCGATCTTTTCCACTTGGAACTAAAGCTCCTGACTCTCATGTCTAAAACGAATCCTTCCACAACAGGATTCTCTCTCTCCCTCTCTGCCCCTCCCCTGCACGTGCACTGATTCTCAAAATAAATAAACTTAAAAAAAAAGTCCAAGAGATGATTGTGTTCTTGTATACGTATGTACATGCACATATGTGCCCAGCCTGCTTTATGTTCACCCAGGTTAAATTTTGAGTTTCTAAGAAAGATTTTGTATGAAAAGAGAAGAGTGTTGACTAGGAATCTGAAAATAACTGGTATGACAAAGATCTCATCACCACTCCTGCCGAACAACTTTCAGTGGCTTTCACAGGACAATGTCCAAACTCGTCAGCATGCTGTCTCCTAATTTTCTGCATCATCTTTTAAGAGTGCCAGGAAAGCAGGGCCTGCAAAGACTACTGTATCCTTTCCAGGTGCAAGCCAGTCGTTATTTGCATTGGTGTGTTGGTTTTGGTTCCCTGAGTGGGTGTCTCTCATTACCACCTAGGCTATGCGTACTCACAACTCTATAGTGGACACCTTAAATGGTCCTTGATGCCATTTTTTTTTATCCCACTGGTGTCACAGCAGAGAACGTGTATGTCTCAAAGGCTACGTTATGAGAAATTATCAGACATCTGTGTCGTCAAGGAAAGTTAGGAACTAAGATATTCTGAAGGAAACTCCTCAGAAAGGAATGAGTGCAGCACCTTCTGGCTGGTCTGCTCCCACAACAGAAGTGAGTCCAGGGACTGGGTGATTAAAAGCAAAACAGCCCTGCGGAAACTGGGTGGCTCAGGTGGTTAAGTGTCTGCCTTTGGCTCAGGTCATGATCTCACAGTTCATGAGTTCAAGCCCTATGTCGGGCTCTCTGCTGTCAGCACAGAGCCTGCTTCAGATCCTCTGTCTCTGCCTCTGCCCCACTCATACTCTCTCTCTCTCTCTCTCTTAAAAATAAATAAACTTAAAAAAAAAAAAAAAAGCAGTCCCTTTCTCATTTCATTTTCTCCATCTTTTTTTTTTTAAATTTTAACGTTTATTTATATTTGAGAGACAGAGTGTGAGTGAGGGAAGGCCAGAGAGAGGGGGAGGCACAGAATTCAAAGCGGGCTCCAGGCTGTGAGCTGTCAGCCCAGAGCCCGACATGGGGCTCGAACTCACAAACCGTGAGATCGTGACCTGAGCTGAAGTCTGATGCTTAACCGAATGAGCTGCCCCTCATTTTCTCCATCTTAAAAGCAGTGCCTATTAACTCCGTGATCCTCAGCAGAGGAATATAGCCAGGACTTCATAGAGACAAAAGAGGTAGATGAAGTAGACAAGATGATGTGAACCTGTAGCATATGTATGACATTATGTGAATCTATGCAGAAAATGAAGTAATTCTAACTTAACCAGCCTCTCCTCGACCTTAATTCTAAATCCTCACTGACAAGAAAACCCTAAGGTTAAGAGCTTTCCTTACCTATGTCAAAAGAAAAATCTCTTAACCACGTTGCCCCAAGCTTCTCTGACAAACACACAACCCACCAGCAATAAGTGGGCTGATTTTAAAAGCTAACTGGGAATTCCCGTAAGTTACAGTAAATACAGATGGAAATAAGCAATCTATGTGAAGACCAGTTCAGAATCCTACATTCTTCTCAGAAGTAATTCCCCAATGTGAGAGCAAATCTGGATGAAACTAAGTAAATACAAAAACAAGCTCAGAATCACACATTTTTTTTTTCAAAAGTAACTTCCCAGTGTGAGTGTATGGCTCCAAGACTAACACACCTTCACTTGTTCAGGCACACGGTGTTCTTTTCCATCTGGCAGAGGGGAACTTCTCTAAGTTCAAACAGACAGAGGTTGCAAGGTCACATAAAATGCTCAAATCCTATGCTGGATTGCTAGACTATGGGGTTTGAACACAATACATTCCTTTAGTTATTCAGAGAAGAATTTTGAACCTGAAAGGTAAGTGGCAAGTTAATACTTACCTTGTAGGGCTCTTTAGAGGGTTGGTGGCAATTTTATTTAAAAATATACAGAACAAGGCTCAGCGTGTATAAATGCATCATAGCTACTACGTTTATTATCATTCCTAGCTACCTGGAAGCCTCCTTTCCACTCTTTCCCAAGGGCAACTGGCTCATGTATTCCTTAAAGCACTTCCTTCCTACAATAAGGATGGACAGGAATTTGTCAAGCACAGAGCCTTTATTTTACATATCATTTCCAAAGAGGACATTGTGTAAGTCAGCAGCCAACAGAAATTCTAAGAGAGAAAGTAACAGCAAAGGTAACTGGCTCAAGTCCCTCTGTGTATACCATGTACATTTCATGTCTGAGCACCTTGTGTGTCTGGCTTAAGTAAGGCAGTGTAGATTGTGCGAACAAGAAATCTGTGTCCTGTGATCAGAAATGGCTACTGCATGCATCACGTAAAATGCACAACCTGAAATGTTTTGATTTGCAACCGAAGTTTCCTTAAGCAAAGATGCGCGTGAACAATGACGAACACATACAGAGCAACTTGGGCAGAGAATGGATAATGCCACAGGGCAGTGAGGTTAGCGCGCTGATCAAGAGCCCCAAGCAGGAGGAGCCGTCCCAGTGGCAGAGCAGGCTAGGAGGGTGGGCAGCAGCCATCTCCCGCTGCTTCGAGCTCCTTCCCGCCTTCACTCTAAGTTGAGCAGCTCCACGTCAAAGATGAGGGTGGCATTGGGAGGGATGACACCAGGGTGGCCCGTGGCTCCATACGCCACATCAGGGGTGCAGGTCAGCTTCGCCCTCTGCCCCAAGCTCATCTAGCAGGGATGGGGGCAGATGGGGAGAGGAGAAAGAGGACCCAGCTTGATTTAAAAGAAAAAAGTAAGATAACTATGGCATTTTCCCAAACCATCCTCATGGTAACTCTGAAGATCTGAGATGAATATTCTGTGTGGCACACTGAAGTGATGCAGAATTTAGATTCTGCCTCAGACTAGCAGAGACTTCGCCATGGGGCACTAACTTCCACAAAGTAGTCCCAAATCCATTCATCTGACAACCACTGCTGGTTATTCATTTAGTGCATGGCCCAAACACTTCGAGTTGTTCCTAATTGTTCCTCACCCCCTTCCAAAAGAAACTAAAGAGGGTGTATAAACAGCACGTGTACCAGTACGCACTCGAGGAGGTGACAGGAACAGTCCATTAAAGACGTTAAGCAATCAGAGACCATCACAAGGAGGCGAGGGCTAAGCGACCTACACTAAGAGAGCATCATAGGACTTCACAGACCAAGGGAGAAGAGCGGGAACCAGGCTCCGCACAGCAGTCATCAAGAACGTCCGGCATTGGTCGGACAAATGGTGAAACTTGAATAAATCGATTAAAAAATTTTAATAACCAACTCCAACATTTGAATGGCTTGGTTAATAGTCCTGCATCAATGTTAATGTGTAATTGATCACAAATTAATGTAACGGGATCGTTTTAGTATGGTTATGTAAAACGGTAACATTTGGGGAAGCTGGGTAAAGAATATAGGGGAACTATTTCTGTGATATTTTTGCAAGTCTGAAATTTTTTTTTTAAGTTAAAAAAAAATACCTTGGCCCACCCCATCCCAACTCTCTGGCTGCCTCAGTCCTAGACAGCTGGTAACTTGAGCGAGTTCTGAGCAAGCCCGGAGGGATGTGCTTGGAATGAGAGCCCCCAGTGACTTAAAGGAGTCATGCTGGCAATGAAAGGGAAGGAGGGGGGGCACAAAGCCAAGGGCTGAAACTAGATGGTGTCACCATGCCTTAGCAGTAGAGTCAAAGCAGTGGCAGTCTGTGCTAGGGCAGGGGCGGCGTACTGAGCCCAGACTCCGACTCCTCAAACCCCCCCTAATGAGAATCCTCATCCTACCTGGGCTGCACCCTCTTCAAAACCCTTGATGACTTCCTGTTTGCCAATTCTGAACTTGAAAGGTTTGTTTCTGTCTCTGGATGAATCAAATTTCTTCCCATTTTGCAGCATTCCTGTGAAAGCAAGAATAGGGTGGAGAAGAGCTGCTGCCACGACTTAACCCCCCCCCCCCGCCGCCCCATTCTGGGTCCACATGTCTAAAATGGAATTCCTATTCTGTACCAACCTGTGCCTCTTCAGATCTCCCCACCTGTCCTGTTGCCCAAGCAAGAAACCTGGATACTGCATTCTGCCTTACCCACCCCCTCAATATGGCCTATCACTTAGTCCTACATATCTTTGCAACCTACCTATGTTCTATGTTCTCCATTTCTATTGCCACCGCACTGGGACCACACCAAGCCACCATCATGTCTCACCTGTGCACAGGAACACCCTCTAACTGGTCTTTCTGCTCCACTCTCACTCCTCCTTTCCAGTCTCTACTCTGTACCCAGAATGATGGTCTTTCATAAACATGTATTTGATCCTATCACTCCCTTGCTTAACAGGATGCTATAGTCAATAGCTCCCTGTGGCCGAATCCAAATGCCTACACTGTGCACAGGCACTTTGAGATCTAGCTACTGCCTGTCTGATAACCCTCTCTCTGCTTTCTTCTTCCTTTCCTCCCTACCATGTCCTATTCAGGTCACACCTTTCTCAAATACCTTGCAAATATACCTTTCTCAAATACCTCTACTCTTTATAACTTTTTCTGTGCTATTTCCTCAGCCTGAGGATTTTTCTGCCTCAGGTTGAGTCCTCACCTGATTTCCCAAGGTCCCCCCAACATGCAAAACTCAAAGGCTGCATCATTGGGTGCCTGAGTGGCTCAGTCAGTTAAGGGTCAGACTTTGACTCGGGTCATGATCTTGCCCCACTTTGGGCGCTGTGCTGACAGCTCAGAGCCTGGAGCCTGCTTTAGACTCTGTATCTTCCTCTTTCTCTGTCCCTCCCCCACATGTGTGTGTTCTCTTTCCCTCTCAGAAATAATAAATGAATAAACTTAAAAAAATAAAAGATTCTCTCTCCCTTTGCCCCTCTCCCCTGCTCATAAAAAACAAAACATAACAAAACAAAACAAACAAAAAAAAGGCCACATCATCTCTTCTTGCAATGAACACAGTAAAGTGACCCAGCCAGTAAATGGTGGCCTCCAGATCTAAAAGGGCCTGTTTGAACCTGGAACACCCCAGAGCTCTCTAACAGTCTGCAGCCCCCCTTAGCCAGCTGTCATCCCTGATGTACAAATATCGTCTCATTCCAGCTCCAGCTGTCTAAGCTCTAGAACTGTTTCTCTCTCTCTTTCTAAGTTTATTTATTTAAGCAATCTCTGCACCCAATGTGGGGCTCGAACTCACAATCCTGAGATCAAGAGCCACATGCTTCACCAATTGAGCCAGCCAGGCTTCCCTCAAGAGCTGTTTTGGTATTTTTAGTTCTTATCGGTGACTGGTTCAAAGGTCAGACCTGTAAACAATGCTCTTCCACAATTTCTTCCTGCAGCCCACAGACCATGACAAAAGCCAATTTGAGACCAGAGAAAGATCTGGCCTGTAAGTTCAGAGACTGGATACTGACTTCATTTTGGCACTAACTCAGTGTGAAGTTAGGCAAATCACTCCCTTTCTCGTGGCTTCAGATATGCCATGTTTAACACAGGCGGTCTGGACAAGCTTAATGTCTGAGCATCTGTGATTTTACTTCCTCTAATTCCTACAATTTAAATGCATACAAGGGACAGTATTATTTTCCTACTTTCTAGGTAGAAAATTGGACTCTTGCCCTGCATACTAAATCAGGCAAAGGAGAAAATCCTATAAGAAGGGGCTCTTACACAAACTCATGCATACACACAGGTTGCTAAGATATTCATATACACAGAGATACTCACGTGTGCTCACGGGCACTTAAGCACACATTCAGAAGAAAAACCCTGATGGTCAAACAGATGCTAAGAAAATATTTAGATCCACAAATCTACATACAATTACACAGATACATACTCAGACATATACACATATGGATACACACACACACACACACACACACTCCATTTGATAATTAGCTTTCTCATTCCCTGATTTCTTCAGATTTCATATGACTTAATATACTTCAGACCAGATATAGTTATCTTCAGCTACAAGTTCAGCCAAAACAATGCAGCCTAGAAACAGACCAACACCTATATGGTTACTTGATTTGACAAAGGTGTCATGGCAAAGCAACAGATAAAGGATATATTTTTTTAAACTGATGTTGCTGGATCAACTGTATATCATATGGAGAAAAATTAACCTTGAGCCCTACTTTATGCACACACAAAAAATCAATTCCAGACAAATCACAGATGCACCTATGAAAAATAAAATAATAAGGCTTCTACAAGATAATAAACAGAAGAGTATCTTCATGACCTAGGGAGAGACAAATATTTCAGAGCTGAACACAAAAGTACTATAAAGAAAAAAGATTAATATGTAGGACTTCATCAAAATTAAGAACTTCTATTCAAAAAAGGCCATTAAGTGTGGGGGGGGGGCGGGGGAGGCCCTGGCACGTGAGGTGCTTAGAATCAGTATAACTAACAAAAGACCCACATTCAGAATATATAAAAAACTCCTATAAATCAATCAGTAAAAGGCAGCTAGCCTAATTTTTATAACTGGACAAAACTTGAGCAGACTGAAGAGGACATTCAAATGGCCAGTAAGTACATGAAAAGGTACTAAGGTACTCAACTTCATTAGTCATCAGGGCAATGTAAATCAAAACCACAATGAGATACACTGGGCACCCACCCAAGTGGGCCAAAATCAGAACGAAAACTTGATAATGCCATGTGTTGATAAGGATACAGGGGAATGGGAGCTTTCATACATGGCTAATGGCAGCAGAGACTGGTGCAACTACTTTGGGAAGCTGTTTGGCAGTATCTGTTAAAGTAGAGCATAGGTAGGGGGCACCTCGGTGGCTCAGTCGGTTAAATGTCTGACTTTGGCTCAGGTCATGAACCTGTGGTTCGTGGGTTTGAACCCCGCATCATATTCTGTGCTGACAGCTCTCAGAGCCTGGATGGAGCCTGTTTCAGATTCTGTGTCTCCCTCTCTCTGTCCCTCCCCCGCTCATGTGCTGTCTCCCTCTGTCTCAAAACTAAATAAACATTAAAAAAAAAAAAAAAAAAAAAGTAGAGCATAGGCATAACCCAATGCCCAAATAACTCCACTTTAGGGTGTATACCCAACCAAAATGTGTACATATGAGCACCAAAAGACACCTACAAGACTGTTGAAATCAATAGTATTCATAATTGCCAAAGACTATCAGCAACCCAGATGTTTATCAATTGTAGAAAAGATAAATTGTAGTATATTCATACAATGAACTGTATGGGCATAAAAAAGAACCAATGACTCTGGACGAATCTCACAGACATAGTATTAGTAAAATAAGCCAAACACAAAAGAGTATATGCTCCATGATTCCATTTACAGGGTATTCAATAAGAAGCCTAGCCAAACGAAGGGGACAAAAGTATGAATTCGGGTTATCTTCAGGGAGGTGTAATGACTGGGAAGAGGCAAGAGGGAGATGCCTGGGGGTGCTGGAAATGTACATGTTGCTCTGGGTCGTGGTTATGTAAGTGCGATCACTTCGAAAACTTTCACTGAGCTGTGCACCTTAGATTTATGTTCTCTGCTGTATTTATATTTAAGTAAAAAGTTTACTTAAAAGTCGCGTACAGTCTCCTGCTGGGTTTGATGAGATGGTCCCTCCCCACACTCGTGGCTGATGCTAGTGTTTAATGTACATTGCCTGCTCACTCTCTGTATCTACCATGAAAAGTCTTTGCAAAAGGATGTTGTGGTTTTAGTAACTTGAAAAGCACTGGTCTGTCTACAACATGTAGAACAGATAAATCAATTACACAGGTCAGAGGCCCCAGGGGACTCATGGTAATTAGGCCAGTCACAGGGAGATAACACACAGCTCTAGCTCACTGACGCCAGCCACCAGCAACACAGCTGTTGAGAAATACCCACACCGTCTGCCTAGAATTAACCTGGCACTTCACACTGGCCCAGAGAACTGCTAAAAATGGCCCCATCTGAATATGTCCTAGGAATTAAACTGGCCTTGCTGTCTGCTAAGTGGCTGTCACCAAGTTTGCCACATTGGGAAGCAGGTCACAAGGCAGAGCATTCACCTCTCTAGAACAAACACCTGCTTGTGATCTTCTTGCCAGCAGTCCTCAGGAATTCCATCTAGAATGTTCCTCAGCCCACCTGACCTTCCAATACAGAGCATCCAAGTGGGGTCCTCGGAGATGTGGGGCTCTCCCCCAAGTCCCACAGCGCCCTGAGCTGGGCGCTCCTGCCGCCCTGCCTGTCACATGGCAGCAGAGCCTCTGGATGACTTTGCTCTCCCGCTCCCACAGCCCCAAAGAAGGAAGGAATCCTGCCTTTTCACCGTTGTGTCCCCAGTGCCCACACAGCACCTTCCACCCAGTAGGTGCTCAATAACAGCACACTGAATTGAACAGTCTATTTCTGAAAAAAGAAAGGGCATGCTGAGGAAGCCACCCTCCCCTTCTCTAATAATATTGTAGGAGGAAAAGGGAGTCTGCAGAGATCAGGGCTCTCAGAGCTTCAAGAAGGGATTTCAAAATATCAGACAGAACCAGGAGGGCCAGGCTCCACCCTGCCATGACAGAGGGAAGGGAATGAAGGTGCTTGGCTCAGTTAGAGGCTGGTTCCACAGACGCTCCCACTGGCACAAATGGGGAAGAGGTAACCTTGCAAGCCCCCTTTCCCATGCCCACAAGGCTGGCTTGAGAAGTAGGGGACAAATGGCCACAGGAAGACGTGGCTACCTTGGACTTTGGGCCTGATCTAGGGAGCAGATGCCTCTGGAGAGGAATATGAGCGGGGAGACCTCCCTTGGGAGGGACAGGTCTGGGTGAAGGCTGAGGGAGCAAAGCCTACCTGTGTAGTGCACCACACACGTCTGCCCCTTTTTGGGGAATGTCCTTCCTGCAAAGAGACATGAGGGCAGATAAATGAATAAGGCATGGAAAAAGTCACCTGGAACATTCAGATGTGACTGCGACCCAGAGCTCTGGCCCACATTCCCCTCCACACCATGGAGATGCCCATGGTGCTAGTTCTGGCTCTGTGCCTTGTATGAGCCGGACTAGTCACTTCACCTCTCTGGCTTTTTATTTGATTGGAACTTTATTCCCTTGGGTTCCTCAACTCTGCTCTCTTCTTTTTATTTTCCTTTCTTATATTTTTAAAAATGTTTATGGATTTTTGAGAGAGACAGACAGAGCACAAGCAGGGCAGAGGCAGAGAGAGACGGAGACATAGAATCCAAAGCAGGCTCCAGGCTCTGAGCTGTCAGCACAGAGCCCAGCTAGGGGCTTGAACTCAGGAGCTGTAAGATCATGACCTGAGCCAAAGTTGGACACTTAATCGACTGAGCCACCCAGGCACCCATTATTTTCCTTTCTTTGATCACTCCGTTTACTTTCCTTCATCCATACCACAAACATTTATTTGAAGTTTATTTACTTATTTTGAAAGAGAGACACAGAGAGAGAGAGAGAGAGTGGGGGTAGGAGCAGAAAGTTGGGGGATGCCAAGCAGGCTACATGTCATCAGCACAGAGCCTGACATGGGGCTCAAGCCCCTAAACTGTGAGATCATGATCTGAGCCAAACCAAGAGTTGGACACTTAACTGACTGAGCCACCCAGGTACCCATTCCACAAACATTTGCTGACAGCCTACTATGGACTAGATTCCAGAAACACAGAGCAATCTATGAACTCATGGTGAAGTTAGGGAAACAGACCCATAAATAATATATTACAATGCAGGATGATGACTGCAATCAAGGATTAATAAGCATAATCATTCACAAATATTTACAGAATATCAATACATGCAAAGCCTGGGCCTGATTTCAGGGACACAGCAGTAAACCATAGAGACAAGATCGCAGCTCTTTTGGAGTTTACATTCTAATGGAGGGAAACAAAACAATACTCAAATAAACAAGACAATTATAGATTATGATCATTCTCTAAAGGAAATAAACACAAGGACGAGTTAAAGAGAGGGACCATTTTAGAAAGGGTGGTTCAGGAGGGCCTCTCAGAAAAGGTGACATTTGTGCTGAATCTTGAAGATTGAGCAAAATGCCAGGAAAAGCACTGCATGGGTGCAAACACTGGGGCAGGAAGGGACTGGAGCATTTGCAGAATATAAAGGAGGCTTGGTAACTGGAAAGAAGGGAGGGAGAAGGGGACAAGTGGGAAAGGGTCAGATCATGCCCAGCATTGCAGAGCCGGATTTAATTCTAAGTGCAACAGGAAGCCACTGGAGGGTTTTAAGCAAGAGAATGACATAATCTGAATTAAGATTTTATAAGATCACTCTGGCTGCTGTGTGTAAGATGGACGATTAGGTGCCTGTTGTGATAATCCAGACAGGAAATCAATTATGGCTTGAATTAACGTGGTGGTAGCAGAGAAGAGAGCAACATAGATCTATTTTGGAAGTGGGACTGACAGGGTACGCTAATGGAGAAGAGATGGGGTCTAGGATGAGGGAGAAGGAGACATCAAGTACAACGCTTGGGTTTTCAGTTTGGGCAACTGGATGAAACAAATTCCAGGTGGAGAAGACTGGGGAGGAGCAGATTTGAGCAGCTGACAATTTTAAGATGCCTATTAGACATCTATCTGAGTTTATACTGCAATAGGCAGCTGGGGTTGTCTGCACTGGAGCTATAAATCTGGGTGGAATTTAAAGCCACAAGCCTGGGTAGCAAGGCATCAGGGAGGCTAACCAGTGAGCCAACATGTAGAGGACTATACGGGAGTCAGGAAAAGCATCTGAGAGGAGATCACGGGTAAACTGAGTCTTAAAAGATAAGTAGTTTGCCATAGGAAGTAAAGGGAGATAATCTGGGAAGAGTGAACGACATGTTCAAAGGCCTAGAATCTGGCAATAGTGAGATCCCTGTCTGGCTCACTGCTCTAACCCCGACTACATAGTACACGGTCAATAAATATTTGCAGAATGACTGGTGTGTTTAACAACTTTGAAGGCAGCTTGCTAAAGCTAGGGGAAATGGTGGTAGTGGGGGTAGGGACTGGTAGGAAGAGATGAGGCTCTAGTGTGGAAGGTAAGACTAGGCTGGACTACCATCTGTCTGGAGAAGGAGATGGAAGATTCATTAAAACACAAGGTGGAGGTAGGGGGCAGAGAGCAGAATGGGACAGAACAGTTACATATGCATTTTAAAGAGTCCACAGGGTACAGTTTGAAAAATAGGTGGTGTCTCATGCCAGTCAGAGTGGCTAAAATGAGCAAATCAGAGAACTCTAGATGCTGGCGAGGATGTGGAGAAACGGGCAGCCTCCTACACTGTTGGTGGGAATGTAAACTCGTACAGCCCCTCTGGAAAACAGTGTGGAGGTTCCTCAAAAAATTAACAATAGAACTCCCCTATGACCCAACAATAGCACTGCTAGCAATTCACCCAAGGAATATAGGAGTGCTGAGGCATAGGAGCACATGTACCCCAATGTTCATAGCAGCACTCTCCACAATAGCTGAAACATGGAAAGAGCCTAAGTGTCCATCAACAGACGAATGGATCAAGAAGATGTAGTTTATCTATACAATGGAATACTACATGGCAACGAGAAAGAATGAAACCTGGCCATGTGTAGCAACATGGATGGATCTTGAGGGTGTTATGCTGAGTGAAATAAGTCAGGCAGAGAGGGACAGATATCATATGTTTGCACGTATAGGAGGATTAGGAGGAACTTAACAGAGGACCACGGGGGAGAAAAAGGGGATAAACAGTGGGGGAGGGGGAGAGAGGCAAACCACGAGAGACTCTTGAATGCTGAGAACAAACTGAGGACTGATGGGTGGGGGAGGGAGGGGAGAGATGGGCATGGAGGAGGGCACTTGTGGGGATGAGCACTGGGTGTTATATGGAAACCAACCTGACAATAAACTATTTGTAAAAAAAGAAAGAGAAAGAAAGAAAGGAAGGAAGGAAGGAAGGAAGGAAGGAAGGAAGGAAGGAAGGAAGGAAGGAAGGAAGGAAGAAAGAAAGAAAAGAAAGAAAGAAAGAAAGAAAGAAAGAAAGAAAGAAAGAAAGAAAGAAAGAAAGAAAGAAAGAAAGAAAAATAGGTGGTGTGAGTTAGGGAGGCCAGATGGAAGGCAGGGAGGTGAGACTGGAGGTGGGAGACCAGTTTAGAGGATGTGCAGAAATCCAAGTGAGAGGTGATGTTGGCCTGAACCAGGGCAGGGGCTATAGAGATGGAACCTAGAGATTTTCAGCAGAAGGACTTGAAAGGACTTGGTGTGGAGCTCAACCAAGAAGGTGTCCCCAGCATAACGGTACAGTAGTTTGGCCCTTCTGTGCTTTTTGACTCAAGAATTTAGACACTCAGGGTGCCTGGGTGGCTCATGAAGCGCCCAGCCCTTGATTTCAGCTCAGGTCATGATCTCAGGGTTCATGAGATGGAGCCTCACATCTGGCTCTGCACAAACATTGCGGAGCCTACTTGGGATTCTCACTCTCCCTCTCTGTCTCTCCCCACCTTGCGTGTGCGCACACTGGGCATGCACGCTCCCTCCCTCAAATAACTCTAAAAGCTACTTTGAGCCAAGGAAGACAGAAGAGGCCTCCAGCCCCTTGGCAGAACTCAATGGTAGTGCCCTGAGGTGTGACAAGGTCTCAGGAAGATGCCTCCTGGAACCCAGTACCATGGTTCCCAGCTGAGTCAAAGAAGCTTTTACCTGCTGGGTAATCAGGGTAATGATTGGGACCTCTAGGAATCACTGCCTTTTAACAAGGAGGGTGGCCTGGGATCAAGAGGTCCTCTCACTTCCTAGGGAAGGTGGGGCTTGTCACTTATGCCTCACATGAAATTTGTCAAATTCTGCTGCAGAAATGGGAACTCTGGAGTGGATTAAGTTTCATTTTAAAAATTTAAGACTGGCTATTCTTGCACATCCAGACCCAATTATACAAGAGATGTCTGGCTTGGGGAAGTGAGTGGTGCCAGTCCTGGGGGCAGGGAAAAGGCAATACAGAGGAGCACTTGGAAGTGGGGAGGACAAGGAGCATGAGTTGTTTTGGACTTGCTGAATTAGCTATCCGTGGGACATCCAGATAAAGGTCGAGCAGCAGCTGGATAAAGGGGCCCCCTTGAACTCAGGTCGGAGATCTGAGCTGGAGGATTAAGTTTGGAGGCCATCGGTTTGCAGACGGTAATGAAAGCCATGGGAGTGTACAGGATGGCTGGAGAGGCTGAGTGGGGCGGGGAGGATAAAGCGAGATGCAGACGCGGAGGGAGCGCTTCTCGCTTCCCAGACTGGCTCGGTCCCCACAACGTCTCACCGCCCAGCCCGCAGGGGCCGCCCGACCGGAGGCCCGGAGGGGGGCGCATTGGAAAGGGTTGCCCCAAACAGAAGAGAACCCTTCCAGCTGTTTCCAGAGCTCACCTAACAGAGCAGGGAAAGCAGAACTGAAAGGCTGCCCTGGGAAATCTGCAGGAGCGGATAACCGAGAGGTTCCAGCCGCGGCAGCGGCGGCCCGAGGCCCCCGGGGCGGTGGCGGGCCGCAGACCCCCGCCTCCCGGCCGCCGCCTTCGTTCCCCTAGGTGAGCCGGCGCGGAAGGGGATGGTGGAGGATCGTCTGCTAGATCCCCAACAATCCAGTCTGGGGTCTCCTCCCGCCGCCCTCATCCTATGCCCGCCTCCAATTCAGCACCCTCCGCGCCACCTCCGAACCAGACCCCCGCCCGCCCGGCTCCGCCCCGGGACCCTTCCTCCTCCCCCAGCTCGGCCGCCCAGTACCGTCTCCGGGGGAGATGGTCTCGATCTCCACGCCCATCGCAGTCCCACTGGCCCCGCCTCCGAGGGTCCCCGCTGCTGCCCCGACCCCGGCTCGGCTCCGGCCCTGGCCCGGCTGGCGCTCCGGCTCGCCTACCCGCCGCCACTGCAGAGCCGGAGGAGGTGCGGCGGGAGTCGGGACCTGCGCGGGGAGGGGCCACGGGGAAGGGGGCGGCGGGGCGGAGCGGCGCGGAAAGGTGGGGTCGGCTGGGGCGGGGCCCGGGGGAGGGAAGGGACCCTGGAGCGGCTGCTCCCGAGCTTGCCAGGCTAAGGGTCGTTAACTGGGGAGGATGTTGAGGGGGACGTGAGACACGCGCGCCTCCACCCACCCACCCATCCATCCATCCATCCGTTCAGCACAAATTTACCTAGCGTCTATTCTGTGCTAAGCTCTCGGGAGTCAACCTGGTCCCACAGACTAGGGGAAAACGGGCAACCCAACACTTTGGAGATACGCTCACTGCCTTGGAGTTCAGAATGTTATGGAAGCACCTGAGTAGTACTTACTACTCTAGCTTGGCGGCCGGGATTGTAGGAACAATCTGGGGATGCGGGGAGCGGGGGAGGGGAGGAAGGGAGGGAGGAAACCAGTCACTACCTTACCCCAACCTCCCTCAACCCTGATTCAGCATCCCACCTCGTTCTGCCCCACTCACAGGTAGGTTCCCACCTTTCGAGGCAAAGTACTGCGCCCTGCTGATGACAGTTAAATTGACGTAGACTCGGTGTCGTCAAAGAACGAAATTTGTGACGGGTGGGGGGTTAGTTACAGCGTGGAGCGATTCGTGCTTGTGGAATGAATGAATACGTTAAGACTTGAACCCCTCTTCCACGCCAAAAGAGTTCCAGGAATCTGGAGAGAGATCTTTGGAGGAGGTAACATTTGCTTGAAGAATGAATGGAACTTTTTCTCTCACTCACTGTTCCACGAGTTACCGTGAAGTATGATTCTGATGACACTGGAATATAGGCACGGGTAGAAAAACCCGAGCAAAGGCAGCCAGAGTGGGCCCTAGACGTGTTCTTTTTCCGTCCTCCAGCCCCCATTCTCCCAGGTGTTTAGGTAAGAGACTTTAGGTTTCAGCATCACTGAAAGACCGTAACTGGATGTTTCGTTCAAGAAAGATGATGGTCAACTGTACTATATGAGGGTCAGGATCTGAAATTCCCCATCGGCTGCTCCACGGCATGGTCCAGACTCTTCCAGGTGTGTAGCTGGTCTACAGTCTAGTGTGACACACTGGGTCCCTGGGCTATGGCCAGGGGCAGACACCCTTCGAGTAAGTGTAGAACAGGGGTTTGTAACTGGGACAGGTCTATGGAGAAGCTTCAGTTGAATGCACAATGTTTTGTGTACGGATAAGAACATTTTTCTGGGGAGATTTTTATCACATTTTAAAAGAAGTCCTCAACACCTTCCCATCTCTCCCCTCCCCCCCCAAATTAAGAAACCGTGTTGGCTCTAGGGTTCCTGTACTCCTTCTCAAATTAAGAGAATCGAGAAGTGGGGGAAGGCTCTACCCTTCTTAAGGGAAGGAGAAATTGTGGCTCGTTTATTACAGATGGAGTTTCACAGAAACTACAACTCCCAGAGATCCGTGAAGCAGTTCCAGAGCTTATTGGTCAGACAGAAGGACCCTGGCCAATAGGCGGAGGGCATTGTAGGGCTTGCCCAGTTACCGCTCGCCTATCAGAGGCCTGGTAGCCGATACTTCCGGTATTCGCTCAGGGCTCCAGATCCGCAGTACCCCGGAGTCTTATTTTCTGTGGGCGGTCAGGCCAAAGGTATTTTTGTGTTCGCTCCTTCCTAGCCTAGCTGGTGTTGGGAGGCTGTGGGTGGGAGAGAGGGAGGTGGAAGGGCCAGCACTTGTTGGGGACTGGGGAGGAGACCCAGGAGTGCAGAGAGGATGGGGAGAATGGGAATAGGGGGCACGCGTGCGAAGGGCTTGCGGCCGAGAACGAACGAGGGGTGGCTTTAAACTTTTGAATATATTCCATGTGGCTCACTAGTGATACTTGTGGGAATATATCCTAAAGAAGCCATCCGAAATGAAGAACATGCTTTATGTATAAAAACCTTTATCACAGAGTTATTTATAAAGTTGGCTACAACCAGGTGTCTCAACAGCGAGGAAAAAATATGCGACTTCACTGAATGCATATTAAGTGGCTTTTAAAAATAATTCATAGGGTCGCCTGAGTGGCTCAGTCGGTTAAGCTGTCCCACTTCCACTCAGGTCATGATCTCACAGTTCACAGGTTCCAGCTGCACGTGGGTCTCTGTGCTGACAGCTCAGAGTCTAGAGCCTGCCTCAGATGCTGTGTTTCCTTCTCTCTTTGCCCTTTTCCTGCTCTCACTCTGTCTCTCTCGAAAAAATGAATAAACGTTAAAAATAAATAACGTATAAAATTTAAATAACATGGGAAAATGCTAATATATAAGTGAAAAAATCGTGATATGAAACCAAACAGTATGATTGAAAAAATTTTAACCAAAACTACATAGAAGCAAAACCCAGAGGGATGTAGTCATAATTTTTTCCCTTTGGATGAATGGTTTTTCTTGAATTTAGCTTTTTACCTTTCCTGTGTGTTAATTTTTTTTTAATTTAAATTTTTGAAATTAATTTTATAACGGAAACACAATAAACAGAAAAACAAGTTGGAGATTACCTGGCTCTGTTTAAACCTACTGGAAATGGTTTAGTTTGCCTAAGCCCCTTGATTCTCACCGTGAGTTGTCTTTAAAGAAGATTAAAAACAAGAATTAAATGGTCATAGGCTGAGCAGCAGGTCCTGATTCTGACCATCTCTCCCCTGAACTAATGAAACAGTGGGCTTTTCATTCCCTAAAACTCCCTAAAGTCTTGTAGTCTGAGGGTTGAGAGACCAACAACTATACAGTTAGCTTCAGGCAGAATTCAAATATTTTAAAAGATACAAAATAATCGGGGAACGCCTGAAGGCTATTTCAACCTTTGTCTTCTTGGCTCTCTGATCTTTCACAGCCAGACTGCCTACTGCTTTGGCTTTAACTACCCACTTTATGACAGTGACTCCCAAATCCTTACCTCTGCTACCTACAGACATCTTAGATGAGGGCAGATCTAATGCAGAATTTCTCACTGCACACCCTATGTTTGAAGCACCCTCTGCCTTCTATATCTCTGATTAATGGTTCTACAATTTCCCAAGCAAAAGTTTGCATGTTATCCTTAATTCTCCTTTCTTCCTCACCACTCATATCCTACTTGTTATCATTATTTATTCAATCTGCATTAGAAATATCTCTGGAGGGGCACCTGGGTGGTTCATTCGGTTGGAGATCCAACTCTTGATTTCAGCTCAGGTCATGAATCCCAGGATAGTGGGATTGAGCCCCACATCGGACTCCATGCTCAGCCTGAAGCCTGCTTGGGATTCTCTCTTTCTCTCCCTCTGTCCCTCTCCCACTCTCCCCCACTCTTGCTCTCTCTCTCTAAAGAAAGAGTGAGAAGGAAAAAAAGATCTCTTGAATCAGGCCCTCGTTCTCTTCTAAAGTACCTACAGATTTGACTCACTTTCTCATTGTGAGAAATTCAAACTATTTCATGGCCACTTATTAAACTTATCAGCCTTCTTCCTTCTCAGGTCCATTCTGCATGTTGTCTTTCATGTGAATGTGTGCTAGTTCCTCCAAATTCCTCAGCATGCCCTTTATGATCAGGGATGTAAGATTTGAAAGGCCTCTCAATCTCAGATAATTTAGAGACTGAAATATCTTGCTAAGACATTTGAAAGAACATTTTTTTTTATATATGTAGACTGTAGAGACAAAGTATTTGAGCAGAAGAACAAAATGACTATAGCTATGACTTTTTGTAATGTCTTATTTATTTATTTTGAAAAAGAAAGCACAAGCAGGGGAGGGGCAGAGAAAGGGGGGAAGAGAGAGAATCCCAAGCAGGCTGTGTGCTGCGAGTATAGAGCCCTATGCGGGGCTCAGTCCCACAAACCATGAGGTCATGACCTGAGCCAAGATCAAGAGTCTGATTCTGAGCCACCCAGGTGCCCCTGACCGCAGCTGTGATTTTTTAAAAAGATGATTCTGCCCAATCACATAAGCATCCAGGCTCTGTGGGAAGAAGGGGCTGGTATCCAGAAAGCCTCTCCTTGTTCTACCCTACTAAAGAGGGAGAGGTGGTCAGGACCTAAACTAGCAATGGAGTACAAAGGATTGCAACAGATTTTTGTAACTTTTGTTAGGTTTTTGAGAAAACATGCCAAATTTCTTCTTATTACCAAGGATGAAAATATTAAAATTAATTCTTCTAAAAATATTAGTAACATTATCATATTTGTTTTTCTCTTATTTACAAATCCTTACCCTGTGCTACCCCTGGCCATATATAACCTCAATGACATTAGACTGGATTAGGCAGCCTAAAACATATATAATTTGCCTTTGATATAATTGGCCCATTAGGAATTTTCTCTGCCTAGGAAAATGTATCATGAATTATTTATCAATAAAGGTCTTTTAAAAGTGCATAAGTAGATATTAGAGGAAAACATATTATCTTATATAAGACCAGTGGGTTAGAGATGGCAGTTTTCTTCATTAATAGTGACAAGGGACTTATTTTTCCATTTAGCAAGCCACTACAGACCCACTTAATCTGACATCATGTGTGGAAGCGTAGTAGACCATTTCTTCTTAGTAAAAGATTCTACGAACAAGGACAAGGACAACAAAGAGGCATGAGAGATAATTTGGAAACAAGTTAAAAGCAAATCACCAGACAGTTGGGTAGAGAATACATTTCTGTGGATATGGAGTCCAAAGATGACTTCTCAAGTTCTGTCTTTGACACATACTACTCAGCAAACAGGGTTGAAAAATGTCCATTGGGTTCAGTGACATAGGTGGCATTGGTAGCTTGGTGAAAGCTGTTTCAAAAAGGTGGTAATAGGGTCAGTTTTGGGGTTAAGAGAGTGATGAGGAGGTGCCTAGCTGGCTCAGTCAGTGGGATGTGCTCCTTTTGATCTTGAGGTTATGAGTTCAAGCCCCAGCTTCGGTATAGAGATTACTTAAAACAGTAAAATCTTTGGGGTGCCTAGGTGGCAGTCAGTTAAGCGTCGGGCTCTTGGCCTTGGCTCAGGTTACGATCTCACTGTTCCACTGTTCCTGAGATCAAGCCTTGCATTGGGCTCTGCTTGCTGATAGCGCGGAGCCTGCTGGTGATCACTCTCTCTCAAAACAAACAAATGAAAAAGAAAAAAAACACACAATAACATCTTTTAAAAAAACGTTAAAAGTTAAACACAGTTCTTAAAGATATTTTGTTTAATGAATGCAAGTTTAATGAAAATTTTACCAAGATAATGAGAATTAATTTGTATCACTGTGCTTTATATTTTTATTTAAATTTCGTAAACATCTGTTGGTCAAAAAATATAATGTTTTTTGTTAAGTTATCTAGCTAGTGTACTCTGTTAATATTTATATTATGCTAGTCTGTTTCTCAATAAGTCAACTATGTGAAAGTTCTTAATTATTTTTCTCCTAAAATTAATCTTTCACAGTCATTTATTATTGCAACCATTTATTTAAATGCATCGCATTTAATCGCAACCAATCTATTCTTGTAGCCATTATTATACATAGAAATGTATATCAACTCACTGATAGAATTTTGAGATAGAATGTGCCCAAGGCAATTTTTTGCCCTTTAAATAAAGATTGCTTATCATGTTTGTTTATATTTGAAAGTAAATACTTATCATTTAGATAATTAGAATATCCAACTTCTTCTCATTACTGCTTTATTCTCCTTTTTTAAAAATTATTTTCTAACACTTAGTTATTGTTGAGAGACAGATCATGAACAGGGGAGGGGCAGAGAGAGACAGACACACAGAATCGGAAGCAGGCTCCAGGCTCTGACCTGTCAGCACAGAACCCGACGCAGGGCTTGAACCCACAAACTGTGAGATCATGACCTGAACCAAAGTTGGATGCTCAACCTACTGAGCCACCCAGGCGCCCCATTACTGCCTTATTCTCATCTGACCTTAGGTATCTTAAATTTGCCTGGACACACACGTTCAAGGATGCTAGAAAATGACATTAAAGCATTAGGCTGTTCACTTTTTCAAAGACTGTAATCCAAGCTAAATAGATTTTGACTGAATACTAAGGCAAAGCCAGCATTCAATGAATTTGAACTTGAAGATCACTACGAAAGCCACAGTAAACCAGCTTCTGTACGTAAGATGATTCAAGGAAAGATTTTCATACTGTGACACTGATATAGACTCTACATTAGAATAATCACTAGAAATAAAGATATTTTTTCCCCTGGAACCACCCTAGGAAGAAAATGTTTGATTGTTGCAAAATCCTATGTTAGTTTTATAAAATATAAAAATTATATAAATATATGATTTATTAACATTGTTTGTCCTCATGATTTGAATGACAAGTATAAGTTAAGAGCTGCAGATTTGTGCTAGTGGGTATGGGTTGCTTAACCTTTTATTTATTTATTTATTTATTTAATCATACAGGAAATGAGAAATGCTAGTATATGGCTGCATTAGGACTTATATGGACCAGTAGAGGAGGGAAATATCTCTTAATATACATTCCCTCATTGTTTTGGTTGTTGTTTAAGAGGCTGGATTATTGGGGCAACTGGCTGGTGATTTTTAAGTCTGTTAAATAATCCCTCCTCTTTTTTTTTTTTTTTTTTTTTTTTTTTCAATTTGAGAGGGAGTGTGAGTTAGTCTGACTCTTGATTTCGGCTCAGGTCATGATCCCAGGGTAGTCAGGTAGAGCCCTGTGTGGGCTCCACACTGAGTGTGNTCTCTCTCTCTCTCTCCTCCTCCTCCTCCTCCTCCTTCTCCTTCTTCCCCTCGCACTCTCTCTCAATTGAAAAAAAAAAAAGAGGAGGGATAATCTAACAGATTTAGAAAGCATGTCCAAATATAGTCCAAAGAGTTTTACTTACAGTATCATAAGAGCCTAAAGCAACAAAAACGTCACAACACAACCCCTGGTAATACCATGACCCAATTTGAAACTGCTTTTAGGATGTAATGGATACAGAGCATTCCATCTGAAAATACTTGACAGGCAAAGAAGTCTCATTTCTACTCTCAAGGACCTTATGTGTTAGTTGTGAAATGCGAGGTAGTACATGAGTGACTGGTAATTGCAGGCAATAAACTGAAGATGTCACATGAGAGCATTAGGCTGTAAGGGCTATAGGAGCTAAGAGGAGGAAAGAATGAGATTTAGCAGGATGATTAAAGAAGACCTCCTGGAGGAGATGGTATTTAAGCTGGGCCTTCAGTTCCCCTGTCATTGATTAAGTGTTTTAAATGGGCCAAGTATTGTAACTATGAAGATGACTAACTAGAAATAAGACTGGAGGGGCAGGAGGTCCGCAGTGGGTGGGGGTTCGAATGCCCAACTGTGGAATTCAGACTTTATCCTATAGGCCAGTGCTGCCCAGAAGAACTTTCTTCAGTGATAGGGAATGTTCTACTCTGCTCTGTCCAGTGTGATAGCCACTAGCCACATGTAACTGTTGACCACATGAAAAAGAATAGTTGTGACTGGAGAACTGGATTTTTTATTTTAATTAAGTTTGCAAAGCACATATGGTTAGTAGCTACTGTATTGAACGGGGCAGCTATAGGCCATAGGTAGCATCTGCCAATTTTTTAAATTAATGTTTATTTATTTATTTGGTGGGGAGAAGGGAGAAAATCCCAAGCAGGCTCCGTGCTCAGTGCAGAGCCCAACACAGGGCTCGATTCCACAACCATGAGATCATGACCTGAGCCGAAATCAAGAGTCAGACCCTTAACCGACTGAGCCACCCAGGTGCCCAGAATTTTGATTCTTAACATCAGCCAGTTTTTAGACTGAATAATGATATACCTAAAAGGATATTTTAAGATTGGGTTTGCACAGGTGAACTAGAGAAAGAAAGGTAGGGAAACCAAGTAGGAGGTGATTATTACAGCCATCTAAGCTTGCAGTAACAGCGATCTGATTCAGGATAGTCTTGGTGGGAATGGTAAGAAAGACTGGATTCAGCAACAGTTCTAAGAATTAATAGGACTTGGCCATTAACCAAGAAGGCAGGAGAGTAGTCAAATGGAGTCCTGAGTTTTTAGCCCGAGTGAATATGAGAACGGTAATATCCATTAACAGAAATTGGGAAGCTGCTGTTGAGAGCAAAAAAAGCCGCTGTTGTTGTTTTCTATTTTATGCGAGTCCAGTTTGAAATGAATGTGGGCAGGGCTAACATCAGCCATAACATGAAGCCTAACATACAATTGAATAGCATTGTAGAGCAGCAAAGAAGTCAGGAAAAGAGATGCAGATCTGACAGTAATAAACAGAGATGACAGTTGAAAACACTGAGTAGGTGACTCTGGAAGGAAGGAAATGTGAGAACAGTGATAGCAACTGAGTACTAACTAAACTTATGGACTCTATCTACATCTAGAAAAAAGTTGGGACACAAGCTCAATTCGCACCCGTAGGGGAATCCTTGAGTCACACGGCATACCTTGCCGCTTCTGATGGAGCAACTTAAAAGATTGAGGGAGACCTATTTTTCACTGACTTGAAAAAGTGCCCATGATTTAAAATAAGTTAGTGAATAGTATGCAGCATATGAGATCCCTGTGGTTATTGTTGGTCATTTTTTGAAAACCCGTTACTAATTTGGGGACAACTGCCCTTCGTGTGAGTGTTGGTGGGAAGCAGAGCCCCGTCCCTTATTACAGAAGCCTTTGTGGGACCCCTCTTTCTCCCCATCCTGGCAGCTAGAGCAGGACTTGGGAGCTAGGCCAAGCCAGTGCAAAGTTTCCCCCTGTACCCCTATTCTGAATCTTAAGCAATTGTCATCATGCGAAGGAGCAGTGAAGTTAGATTCTCAGCCACTAACATGTCAGGAGAGAGTGGTAGCCATGGTTTAGTCCATCTTGCTAGCCTCACTTGGTTTCTGCTTGTTTTCTGGGCTTGGTTCTTGAGATTTCTTGTTTTCCTAAAGTTAGCCAGACTGGATTCTATTGTTAGTACCCAGGAACTTTGACTTAAACCCATTTTTTTGTTAAAAAAAAAACACAAAAACTTAGCACATATAAAATTCTTTTTTTGGATAAGTTTCTTTAATGGTTTCAGAGGCTACACACCAAATTGTTGAGTGCTTTTATCAAGGACTTAAGATTGGGGAAGGGAGGTGTTGGCATGGGGTAGGAGGACACATTTCATTTTTCCATAGAAACTTCTCGTTTGTCTGAATTTCACTGCAGTGAACATGTACTTCTTTAGTAATTTAAATTCTGTAAAAAAAAAAACAAAACTTAAGAATGAAAAAATTGAAGATAATTCTTTTTTAACCTACTTTGTATTATTGTGAAAGATTGTTGCAAGGAGCAGATGTGACGGAGAATGTGAAAATGGCCCCAAAATTATTAAGTGCTATTCGAATATGGTGACGTAGAAATAGCAACAGGGACTCTCTGAGTGTCATTTCACTATGGAGGTAAAAGTCATTTTTAAAGGAGTTGAGGAAATAAGTGCTAATAAAGTCAGGGATGCGAATATCAATTAATGCTTGACTTGGCAGTGAGAGAAGAACAGAAATTAGATGGTCAAAGAGGTTTTTCTCAATTTTTTAATTTGAAAAATTTTAACTTGAAAGTATCAGGAATACCAGTATAGCCTCAATCTAGATCCAAGATTCATTAACATTTTGCTACATCTGTTTTATCTCTCTGCATTTCTATATAAAATGTGTACAGTTTGGTGTTTCTGGTTTTTGCTAAGCCATTTGAAAGCAAATTGTAGGCATCATGATACTTTACCCCAAATACTTCAACATCATATTTTAATGGCAAGGACATTCTCCTAACATAACCATAATATTGTGTTCTCATTTAAGATTAATAACTCTGGGGTGCCTGGGTGGCTCATTTGGCTAAGTGTCCAACTTTTGACTTCACCTCAGGTCATGATCTCATGGTTTGTGGGTTAGAGCCCCACATTGGGCTCTGTGCTGACAGCGCAGAGCCTGCTTGGGATTCTGTCTCCTCTCTCTCTCTGCCCCTCCCCCACTCTCTCACACACAGTCTGTCAAAATAAAATAAACATTTTTTAAAAGAAAATAACTCCAGTGTCTTCAAATTGCATATTCAAATTTCTCCAATTCTATTAATATCTTTTTTTAATAGAAAGTTTTATTTCTGGGGCACCTGAGCGGCTTAGTGAGTTAAGCATCTGGCTTTGGCTCAGGTCATGATCTTGAGGTTCCTGGATTTGAGCTCGGCATTGGGCTCTGTGCTGACAGCTCAGAGCCTGGAGCCTGCTTTGGATTCTGTGTCCCCCTCTCTCTGCCCCTACCCCACTTCCACACTGTCTGTCTGTCTCTCTCTCTCTGTCTCAAAAAATAAACATTAAGAAAATTTATTTCCTCAATTCAAGAGCTAATCAGTTTATATATTACATTTGCTTGTTATGGCTCAGTCATGTCTTTTAATCTGCCACATGGCTTTGACCTTTTATCCCCTTGAAATACTGGCCTGTGAAAGGCCTAAGCCAATTGTCTTGTAAAATGACCTACATTTTGGATTTGTCTGATTATAGTCTCATGGTAAAACTTCCCTTCTTAATGATTTCAGATACCCTTTGTCAAAGAGGATGGAGTTGGGAAAAGGAAGACTTCTCAGGACTGGGCTGAATGCATTGTATCAGGCAGTTCACCCAGTTCATGGCCTTGTCTGGACTAATGGGACCCAGATAGTCCTGACTGATTTACAGCTTCACAGTGGAGAGGCCAGGTTTGGGGACTCAGAGGTCATCGGACAGTTTGAACATGTGTGTGGAGTGTCCTGGGCCCCACCTGGCACAGTGGACAGGCCTGCTCTGCTCGCTGTGCAGCACAAGAAGCATGTCATTGTGTGGCAGCTGTGTCCCAGCAGTACGGGGACCAACAAACGGCTGATGTCTCAGACCTGTGAGATTAGAGAAACACTCCCTGTCCTTCCCCAGGGCTGTGTGTGGCATCCAAAAAGTGCCGTCCTGGCTGTGTTGACTGCTCGGCACGTCTCCATTTTCCACAGTGTTCACTGCAACAGTTCCCGGGTGAAAGCAGACATTGACACCCAGGGCCCCATTCACTGTGCGTCTTGGACCCAGGATGGCCAGAGGCTGGTGGTGGCAGTTGGCAGCAGCCTGCATTCCTACATTTGGGACAGTGCTCAGAGGACCCTTGGCAGGTGCTCCTTCCGCCCAGTGTTTGATGTGCACAGCTCCGTGCGCTCCATCGGAGCCACCGTAGACTCACAGGTCGCTGTAGCCACTGAGCTCCCACTAGATAAGATCTGTGGCTTAAATGCATCTGAAAGCTTTGACGGTCCACCTAGCGGTGAGGACCCTTGTACTTTCCCAGTTATTGATGAAGTACCCACCGCGGGTAAGGGGACAGTTGCTTCTAACACAGATGTTGAAACATCAGTTTCTCCCATTTCTTCCTTTTCAGATCCTGTGGATCTAACTCATATGCATTTCAGTACGTCAGAGTCTGAGGGTAGTTCTCTTATTTGTCTAAGAAAAAAAGACTACTTGACAGGAACTGGCCTGGATTCTTCACATTTGGTCCTTGTGACCTTTGAGAAGGAGGCTACCCAGACCAGAAAAGTTGCCATTTCAGGCATTCTGGTTCCTGATCTAATAGCATTCAATCTTACAGCACAGGTGGTAGCAGTAGCTTCTAATACTTACAATATAATTTTTATCTATTCTGTCATTCCATCATCTATGCCAAACATCCAGCAGATTCAACTCGAGAGAAGTGAAAGGCCAAAAGGTATGTGTTTCTTGACAGATAAGTTACTATTAATTTTGGTAGGAAGACAAAAATCCACTGATTCAGCATTTCTTCCTTCTTCAAAGACTGATCAATATATCATGCGTTTGATTGTTAGAGAAGTAGCATTGGAAAAAGAATTGCCAGTAACATCGAGTGAAAACCAGAGTGGATACTCTACTTTCAGGACTCTGTTAAACAAAACAGACAGAAAAAAGCTAATTGAAAGTCTTTACCCAGATCTGTGCCACCAAAACAGAGGGCTTTTCACATCTAACAGCTGTAGTCTGTGCGAAAGGCCTGGAAGAACCCTTATTGAAGAAGTCAGGAGTCCTCCAAGCCAAACTCTAGATGCTGAGCCCGTTAACCGCTCAGGGACCCGGCCCAGGTCCAGCAGCACGCCAGACCACGCCAGCACTCCGGGACCTCCTAATCTGCCTCAAAGCAAGAACACACAGAAGGAAGAGGAAACTTACCGACTGTCTAAGGAAATGGAAATTTTGTCTAGGACCCTGACTGAAGTGCAGCGATGTCTTTCTGAACTCACAGACACCTTACCTAATGGGAAGAAGTCCTCTCCTGTGTATCCCCCGCCCTGGGACCTGCCTTACGTGCACATCACTTATCAGGTAACTTCTCATTAGAGGAGCTACCACTATACAGAAAAGCTCCTGCAGCCGGTGGGTACTGCGAGGAAAATCCACTGATGAGGAGAATAGTGTTCTGGCTGAACTTCACTGAACTGGGCATGTTTGTCACAGGCAAGTTATACCTCTCTGGGCTGGTTGGCTGCCAGCCAGACGGGCACACAGCAGTGTACACCGTGATTGCATCACATGCATGGTGTAAAATATGAATGATGATACTCATTCTGGCAATTTATATTTAGGAAACAAAAGAATTTTTCTTACTGCACTATTTCACTGTGGGAGACTTTTCCTTATGCATTGCAGAGAGAAAGGTTAGGTTCATTTTAAAAAAATGTAATGCGGAGGCAGACGTACAACATTACATGAATGGGATTATATCTTACCTGTTTTTATCAACACTTTCCCCATTGAACTTGGCCTTGCCCCCTGCCGTAACTCACTTTAACAGCTTAATGTGACTCCCTCCATATTTTAGTTCATAACCCATACAGTCTTACACACTTCTTTGTATACATAGGTCTACAGATGCAGGGCTGATGGCTTGTCATTGTTTTACAAAATGGCGTTGGAGGGCGTGCTCTTCATGCCGGGAGGCCGCTGCTTACTTAGGCGGTCCCTTGTTGATGCACATTCACATTGCCTTTACTTCTTCACTTATTCAGACACTCCAGGCAGGGCTCTCGTAGTACTCTTTTATGTATCTATTTGTATTCCTACTTTTATTTCTGTTGGGTTGGTTCCCAGAAGTGGAAGTGCAAATTTGAAAAGTACGTATATACGTTTCTACTTTTAATACAGTTGCCAGATTGCCTTTCAGAGATTTTTTACTTAATGCATCATCATGTGCCCATTCTCAACCTGTGAGACTTTCTGTTCCTCACATCCTCACCAATCTGATAAGTGTGAAGTGCTTTTCACTTTCATTCATTTGTATTTCCTTCACTGTTAGTGAACTTGCGTATGCCTTTCTCACGGTTTTTGGCCAGCTGAATATGCACTGCCTATTGCTCATTTTTCTCCTATTGAGTTATCAGGTTTGGTTTTTTTTTAAATGTTTTATTTATTTCTAGGAGAGAGAGAGAGAGACCGCGTGAGCAGAGGAGGGTCAGAGAGAGAGGGAGACACAGACTCCGAAACAGGCTCCAGGCTCTGAGCTGGCAGTCAGCACAGGGCCCAACGCGGGGCTCGAACCCACGAACCGCGAGATCATGACCTAAGCGAAAGTCGGACGCTTAACCGACTAAGCCACCCAGGCGCCCCTTGAGTTATCAGTTTATAAGAGGTGTTTGTATATCATAGAAATTAACATACATGCAACAGTCTAGATTTTCTTGCATTATTTTATTATATGAGTTTTGACATTTAAATTTTTAATCTTTCATTAAATTTTGGTGTGTAATCCACTTTTATTTTCTGAGAGATAACCAGTTGAGCTAGAAGCTTTATTAAAAACCTATGTTTCGGGGCACCTGAGTGGCTCAGTTGGCTGAGCACCCGACTTCACCTCAGGTCGTGATCTCATGGTTTGTGGGTTTGGGCCCTGCATCAGGCTCTATGCTGATAGCTAGCTCAGAGCCTGGAGCTTGCTTCAGATTCTGTATCTCCCTCTCTCTCTGACCTGCTCCTGCTCACGCTGTCTCTCTCTCTCTCTTAGAAATAAAAACATTAAGGGGCGCCTGGGTGGCTTAGTCGGTTAAGCGTCCGACTTTCGCTTAGGTCATGATCTCACGGTTCGTGGGTTCGAGCCCCGCGTCAGGCTCTGTGCTGACTGCCAGCTCAGAGCCTGGAGCCTATTTCAGAGTCTGTATCTCCCTCTCTCTCTGACCCTCCCTGCTCATGCTGTCTCTCTCTCCTAGAAATAAATAAAAATATTTAAAAAAAATAAAATAAAAACATTAAAAAAATTTTTTTAATAAAATAAAAATAAATAAAAATCTATCTTTCGATGTGGTACCTGGGTGGCTCAGTCAGTTAAGCAGCCAACTCTTGCTTTTGGCTCAGGTCATGACCTTGTGGTTAATGAATTCCAACCCCATGTAAGGCTCTGCACTGACAGCATGGAGCCTGCTTGAGATCCTCTGTCTCCATCCCTACCCCACTTGTACCCCCTCCTTCTCTCTCTCTCCCGCTCTCTCTCGCGCTCTCTCTCTCTCTCTCTCTCTCTCTCTCTCTCGGTCAAAAATGAATAAATAAACATTTTTAAAAAATCCATCTTTCAGGCGCCTGGCTGACTAAGTGGGTGGAGCATGCAGCTCTTGAGCTCAGAGTCTTGATTTCGAGCCCCACGTTAGCATAGAGCTTAGTTTTAAAAAGAATCCATCTTTATTCCCACTGAACTTCATCTACCACATTTGTTATATATAAACTTATATGTACTGGGATCTAAATCTGGATTCTCCATACTCTTAACTACTATAATGCTGATCTCTTTATATAGAACTTTACCAATATCACACTGATTTGATTGTGGACTTTTATATCTTCGTTTTAAAAGATATTTGTAGAAAGTTGGTATCGAAATCATTGATAAGTAATATGTAAGTTATTATCTAATAATGGTTGAGAAAGGGATTTTAATTGGTTTTTTTATTAAAAAAATTTTTACTGTTTATTTATTTTTGAGAGAGAAAGAATACAATCAGGGGAGGGGCAGAGAGAGAGGGAGACACAGAATCCAAAGCAGGCTCCAGGCCCTGAGCTCTCAGCACAGAGCCTAATGTGGGCTTGAACTCAAACTGCAAGATCATGACCTGAGCTGAAGTCGGGTGCTTTAACCGACTGAGCCACCCAGGTGAACCTTAATTAGTTTTTTCCTAAAACTACTACTCTTTGACCAATTCAAGGGTGTAGGTTTATTTATTTGTTTGTTTGTTTGTTTGTTTTAATGTTCATTTTGAGGCGGGGGTAAGGAGAGACTTCTAAGCAGTCTCCATGCTGTCAGTGCAGAGCGGGCTTGATCTCATTACCATGAGATCATGACCAGAGCTGAGACGGAGAGTCAGACAGTTAACTGACTGAGCCATCCAGGTGCCCCAAGATGTAGGTTTTTAAAAGAACCAAAGAGTAGTTTAAAACAATTACAATTTCTTATGAAAAATTTCAAACATAAAATGAAATGCATCTTTTTATTATGAAAAATTGTAAACCTAAAGAAACACTAAATAACAAAATCCTTTTTCTACCTATTATCTGGATTTAACACTTGTTAACATTTTGCCATAATTGCTTCATTTTTTAAAATATTTCCTAAAATACTTTAAGTAGGAATGCCATCGTATTTAACCCGTAACTATTTTGGGATCGGATCCTTTTGTTATGTTAAATAATGTAGCCAAAATCTCCTTATTTACAACTAGCTTGGTTAGAGTAATAGTAAATAGGATTTTTTAAAAAAACTACTTATACATTCTAGTCTTAAAAAATGTTAACTCCGGGGCGCCTAGGTGGCTTAGTCGGTTAAGCGTCCGACTTTCGCTTGGGTCATGATCTCGCTGTTCGTGGGTTTGAGCCCCACGTCGGGCTCTGTGCTGACTGCCAGCTCAGAGCCTGGAGCCTATTTCAGAGTCTGTGTCTCCCTCTCTCTCTGACCCTCCCCTGCTCACGGTGTCTCTCTCTCTCCCCTAGAAATAAATTTTTAAAAATTCAAAAAATTAAAAAAAAATGTTAACTCCGTTGCTTCTGCAGCTTAACAACTTTTATTTTTATATTTGAAGAAATCTCATGATGCAGGTCCTGTTGAAAAAAGAGCCATGCTCCTCTGCAATGGCCAACTAAGGCTCAGCACAGTTCAGCAGACTTTTGGCCTCTCTCTTATTGAAATGCTCCATGGTAGGTAAAATTCAGAAATGGACTCTACCCCCCCCCCCGCCCATCTGTTTTGTAACTTTCATTGATAATGAACCATTCAGTGATTCACTAGATAGTTAGGTATTGTTAATTGCCTACTATATACCCAAGCCTATGGAAAATATGGATTCTGCCCTTAAGGAACTTACATATAGCCTAACTAGACGGCCTAACTACACATGAAAAAAACTAGAAAAAAGTTACAAAGCAATATATAACAGCTGCAAAGAAATGACATATAAAACCTCATACATGCCTATTACATGAAACATAAAGATCATAGCAGCATTGCGGAATATTTCTTAAAGGAGTTGTCATTTCAATGTGCAGCAAACGTGTAACTGCAAAGGACATTCCCAAATGCTAGAGGACTGAGTCACACCCGTACCATCAGGTGCACAGGATGGTTGCTTTTTTATGCCTCATACTTTTAATGGAAGCTACCACACTGAATGTGGCATTTGTTTCATTACCTCCCTTCCCTTAATATGTCAGCATCAGCATTTGTCTGTTTTGACACATGCATCTGTGACATGACTTCATAATTATCATTTGTCATGGGTGGGGTTAATATTCCATTCTGGGTGTACCATATTTTACTTTGCCATATTTTCTTTGACATTTAATTGATTTCCAATTTTCAGCATCAATAGCACTAATAAAGGCCTCTCTGCATATTTTATATGTTGTGTTTGGAAAGTTTAGATTTTCAGAAGTGAAATTTATAAGGTCAAAGGTGAGGCACAGTACATCTGAAAGAACCAGAGAAGGTCACAGGCTTGTGTTAGGCTACTGGCCCTAGGTTACCCCAGAACAAGCCATTCAGGATGATCTGGACCATTCTAGTCTATCTGTAGTTAGCTCTGCCTCCTTAGCTGTCTAGAGGTTGGTATGAATCTAAAGAATAAAGCTTCCTCCAGAGAGTAGCAGTTCCCACCTTCACATAGTTTCTGGAGAAATTGCTTACGAGCGTGTAGATAGGGACCCACTCCACACACAACCCCTAAAACGTGTGCACTACATACACACCCATATGCATAGCACTGAGTGATACATGTCTAGCCTGGACAAAAATGGATGTCCCCTAGCTATGCCTAAGTCATCAATGACCTCACCCTAAGTAGTACTTGGTCTTTCCAGCTTCCCATCCTCTGTACGGTCGTGTCACGATCAGGTTCAGTATTATCAACCACTGGATTTTTCCCCTCAAAAAAGTATTTGTCTTATTTTTCTTTAAAGAATAAGGTGAGCTATTCTAAATTACCTATGTGTTTATTTCACTTTGCAGACTCACACTGGATCCTTCTCTGTGCTGATCGCGAAGGCTTCATCCCGTTAACTTTCACAGCCACTCAGGAAATAACCATAAGAGATGGCAGCTCAAATGTCTGCAGAGACTCCGTCTCAGAGTCTTCATCCTGGTCCTTCTCTTGAAGTCTTTAGAGAGCTTACTGTCCAAAGTGCAGATGCCACCAGCTCTCCTACCCATTTAGGCAGTGTGGCCTGATACTTTTTTTTTTTAATATTTATTTATTTATTTATTTATTTTGAGAGAGAGAGAGAATGAATTCCAGGTAGGCTTCTGCTGCTGTCAGCACACATCCTGACACAGGGCCCAAACCCTCAAACCGTGAGATCAAGACCTGAGCTGAAATCAAAAGTCAGGCTCTCAACTGACAGAGCCCCCCGGGCGCCCTGGCCTGATACTTGTTTGCAGAGTTGTTTGCTGCATAGCTTTTCAGATGAGGCCATTACAGATGAGATCTATTTTCCACCATGGACTCTCCTCCTCAGCTGGGATTTGCACTGTTGCTCAGAGGTGAAGCAAGGGCCATGGCTGGCTTGGCCACTTTTCCCACAAATGCCCCGGGCTGAGGCTCACTGCTCTGTAGCAGAGCTCAGTCTTCGTTAGATGGCTCTCAAAGAGTGGTTGTTTACGTATTCATGACTGTGTGGTTTTGTCTGAGGGCAGAATTCCCAGAACAAAACAATATTAGGGTACCATATGGATTGTGTTTTACGGTTTCTCTGAGGCTTTCTGTCCCTTGCCCAAAACCGTTAAAGCTGCCTTAGAAGCACTTAAAAGGTACTTCAGCATTGTTTTAGATCATTTCCTTGGCTTATGAGAGCAAGAGGTACCGGAGAACATATGCTCCAGCATGCCCCGCTTACCCCAAACCAGCAGGAATCAGAGCTCAAAAGAAGACCAAAAAAAAAAAAAAAATCAACTGACTTCTGTGCCCAGGGCTGCCTAGAACAAGAAGTCATTCTGATGCTGGCTGGACCTGCCAGGATTTAAACCTAACTCTCCTGCTTCCTTAAAAATTTCTGGCTAACTAAGGCCTAGTTACTCCTAAAAACTAGTCCTAGCAGATTTCAAATGAAATTTCAGGTGCCTTGACCCCTCTGGACCCCACCTGTGCGTGTATGTGTGTCAGCAGTTCAACGCCAAGCACAGGTGAGGTCAGAGGTGTGATTCTGTGCTCTCGCTCCTCCTGATTTTCTCCCTGAAATGCCCCCCTCCCCCAGTTTTGGGATCATAAAAACATCCTGTTTTCCTCCCAGTAGTCCACTCCCTTAGTTAAATTGTCACTTTAATTTTGATGTTTTTCTTTTCCCTCCATTTAAGTCTTAGAGACCAGCATAGAATCTCTGAGAGAAAGCAGTTCAGAAAATTGGAAATTTAACTGAATCTGAGGTGGCCGAAAGTACCAGCTTATTATAATCATGGGCTCAAGTGCCAACTTAGTAAAGTGGAAAGAGCCCTGATTGCAACTTCAGATAGACCCAGCACTTCACATGCAGAATCATCAACTTCCGTGACGGCAGCACGACAGATTGATGGGCGTGTGGCTAGTCAGGGCACATCTGCAGGTAGATTGTTTCAGCCATAGAGGTTCCATTAGCAACACCCCCCCCCCCACCCAACTTTCCTTTAATATTATCTGGAAACGAAGTTTTTGTGCCCTTGGGGACTTCTGTCGGTCTGTTACCATTTATGAAGATGGAGCTGGGATAGGAAAGAAGCGAGGGCCCATTTTGTGGTTCAAGCGCATTAGGCGGCTGCCGGGATAATGGAAGCGGAGGCCACTGGTCTGTAATCAGTTTGCCTGAGAGCAGTGGCTGAGGAGAGTCTGAGGCCCGGCTCCGTGCGCAGAGGAAGTGTCTGCCTAGGGTGAAAGCATGCTATTATGAAACCTGAGAGGGGTCCTGAGGGCCCTGCAGTAACATCAGTGTGGGTGCCTCAAAGTACATGTTACAGTCACCATTTCCCTGGTCAGAGTCCTGTGAATGAGTCAATAAAATCACTAATGGTTGCGGTGGCTGTTGTGAATGTTTTGATGGTATTTTCTTTGTGATTATTGCCGGTATAAAGAAAATTCATGAGTTTTTCTTCATGGATGTTGTCTCTGTATTTCTTCTGGTGGGCAGTCTGACATATAAATTATTTATTTCTTTACCACAAATCTGATTCCATGACAACTCTCCTACAGAAGACGTTTCCTTGGCCTCTGCTATTATTATAGTCACCAGAACAATAGAAGATAATCCAGTACTTGCTGGCTCTGGAAGCAGGGAGAGGAGAGCTGTCATCTCTTAATTATTGTTCAGTGTTACGTTGAGAATATTTTGCATAAGGAAAGACATTATTTACAAATCCCATTTGGTGCCCAATTTTTTCTAAATTATGTGCAGGTATTTATTTATTGATACACACAATAGATATGAAGTATAGGAAGGTTTAATAATAAAATGAACCACCTACCACCTAATGTAAGAACCAGAACATTACTAGAAACCATTCTGGATCCTTCTCCATAAAGGTGGAGCTATGGACAATCTCTTGATTGTCATAATTACCCTTTCCTCATTCCTTGTCTTTTTCACCATAACCACATATACACCTTGCCCTAAATAATATAGCTATTATTTCCCCTTGTTTTGGAGCTTTATACAATGGTATTATATTGCATATAGTCTTCTGCAACTTTCACATTTCTTTAATCAACATCCTGTTGGGCACTTGAGGGGAATCTTCTGTCGCTCTCCTAAGTTTTCTCTATGTGTATGTAGCTCACTCCTCTCCAATATTCTGCCCTGCAAACTCTTGGCCTCCCCAAACTCACCTTCTCAGCTCAGAGTCCTCTGGGCTCCAAATGGCGCTCTCCACGGTCATCCGGGAACCCTCAAGGCAGTAAACAGGCAATCCTAAGATTCACCTCATTTGTTTCCCATCTCTGAGATTCTTCCTTCATTGCCTCATGCCCAGGGTCTTGAGAACTATTTCATATATGCTGTCCAGTTTTCTTTCAATCGCTTCAGCTGAGAGGCTAGATCTGGTCTTTACTACTCCGTCCAGGCCAAGAGCAGAAGTCTTTCCACATCTTGCTCATTTATTTCTAGGTATTTTGTATATTTTTTGTTGCTACTGTTTAAAAGTTATGTCTTATAACTATTGCTGGCATACAAAAAAGAAATTTTGTTATTTTATGTCCAGCTACCTTGCTGTACTCTAATTCAAATAATGTATCTGTAGGTCCTTTTGGGGTTTCTAAGTAGGTAATCATATTATCTACAAATAATGACAATTTTTTTTCTTTGTTTCTAATTATTATACTGTTATCTTAAGATTACTGCACTAGCTAGATCCCCTGATGAAGTGTTGAACAGAAGCAGTGATGGTGAGTAATCCTTCCCTTATTCCTGATTTTAAAGGGACTATTTCACCATTAACATTTTACCATTAGGTGTCATATTTTACCATTTAGAATGTTTGCTGTAGGGTTTTGGTAGATAGCCTTACTCAAGTTTAAAACTCTCTACTTGCAGTGCCTGGGTGGCTCAGTAGGTTAAGCATCTGACTCTTGATTTCAGCTCAGGTCATGATCTCACAGTTTGTGAGTTCAAGCCCTGGCTGCGTCACACTGCTGACAGTGCGGACCCTGTTTGCGATTCTCTCTTTCCCTCTCTCTGCACCCCCTTCCCCCACCTGCATGTGCGTGGGCTCTCTCTGTCACTCAAAATAAGTAAATAAACTTATTTTTTTTTCCCTTTTCCTCTTGGTTTGCTTAGTACTTTTATCAAGAATGAGTACTAGCGGGGCACCTGGGTGGCTTAGTCGGTTAAGCGTCCGACTTTTGCTTAGGTCATGATCTCACAGTTCGTGGGTTCGAGCCCCACATCGGGCTCTGTGCTGACTGCCAGCTCGGAGCCTGGAGCCTGTTTCAGTCTGTGACTCCCTCTCTCTCTGACCCTCCCCTGCTCACGCTGTCTCTCTCTCTCTCTCTCCTAGAAATAAATAAAAATATTAAAAAAAAAAGAATGAGTACTAGCTTTTTATCAAATGATTCTGTTTCTATTGAGATCACAATTTATTTCCTCCTTTAATCTGTTAATTGTGGTAAGTTTCACTTGACAGATTTTTCTCCCCCCCCCCCCCTTTTTAATGTTCATTCTTGAGAGACAGAGACAGAGAGAGAGGGAGACACAGAATCTGAAGGCTCCACACTGACAGCACAGAGCCCGATGCAGGGCTCCAACCCACAAACTAAGAGACCGTGACCGGAGCTGAAGTCAGACACTTAACTGACTGAGCCACCCAGGCACCCCTCAGTTTACTAGTATTTTGTTTCAGATTCTTGCTTTATGCTCTGCGCTCTTTTAATCTTCTAAGATTAGCCTGTAAGCCTCCTTTCTTTTTTTTTTTTTTTATTTTATTTTATTTTTTATTATTATTATTTTTTTACAAATAGTTTATTGTCAAGTTAGTTTCCACATAACACTCAGTGCTCTGTAAACCTCCTTTCAGTTTTACTTTGCATGTCTAGTTTTGGTATCAAACTTATTCTGGCCTGATGTAATGAGTTGTAGACTTTGCCCTTTTTCTATTCCCTGGAAAAGTTTTCATAAGCTATGAAATGATCCTTGAGAAAAAATTGAGCACTTGGTAAAATCATGTGGATCTCATGAAGGTTTGTGGGGGGGGGGGATGCTTTATAACATGTATTTCATTCCTTGAATATTTATGAGATCATTTAGGATTTCCATTGTTTACACTCACACACATACATTCAGTTCTGTTATAATGCTTGTTTTGAAAACACAGATTTGTTCCAGCACAATTGTTATCTTAAGGAACAATTTGAGCATAACCTGAATTCCCTTACATATGCACCAGGTTTGTCCTTAAGAAACACTAGGTGAACACAGAAAACTACCCAGCCGAATGAAGAAGTCCCACAGGAATATGTAAACGTACACACATACCCACCTCAGACATCTCACAAGAGGCTGTGTCAGTTCACCATGTGTGTTTTGAGCCAAACCCATCCACTTCTGGGGCTACAACTTTCTGTCCAACTTCAAATACCTTCTACCATTTGATAATAACCTACAAGCTGCAACCCTTTCCTCCCATTGCCTCACCCACACTTCGTGTGCACAGGAAGGGCACAGTAGTGTGAATGGGGAAGAAAGAAAACTATGAAGACACCAAGTTTTGGGTTTTGATGACCTGATAGATGCTGACATAATTTACCAAAATGCAGGAGGCAGAACAAGTGTGGGGAGATGATGAGTTCCACCTCAGAGGATGTTTTAACTCCCTGAAGAACACTCAGATGGGCTTCTGAAGTCAGCAGAGCTCAGGGGTAGAATCAGAGTGGTGTAAAGGTGATGGTGATTGAGTGGCGCCTGGGTGGCTCAGTCAGCTAAACGTCCGACTCTTAATTTCGGCTCAGGTCATGATCTCACGGTTGCAAGATCAAGCCCCACATAAGGCTCAGCACGGCATGGAGCCTGCTTAAGATTCTCTCTCTTGCTTTGCTGGCCGTACCCTCCCCTGCTTGTGTGCGTGAGTGTGCACTCTCTCTCTCTCTCTCTTGCTCTCTCTCTCTCTCTGAAATAATAAATAAAAATAAAGGTGGCAGTGAATGAGATCACACAGCCCTGTGAAGCCTGGGACACCTACAGAGCATCAAAGGAAAAAGAAGCAAAAGAAAAGACAGAAAATGAATGGCCAGAGATGGTGGAGGGTAACGGGGAAGGTACATCATGTAAGCCAAGGGAAGATGGAGTTTTGAAAACGAGTGGCCATCATTTAATGGCTGCCAGTCATTGAAGGTTTCCCTGGTCAGATATTATCTCACACTTAATCCTCATGGCCATCTCGAGGTGTAGGTAATAGCGAACACATTCCTTTCAAAAAGGAAACAGGCTCTGGTTTGTTACACAAGTCACACATGCGAACAATACAAACTCCGATTTCCTTTTCTCTGATGCTAGAGTTGACCCCGCCGAGCTGCATGGTCTCAGTAGGAAGGCAGGGCCAGGTTTAAGGAGGTGAGGGAATGGCAGGTGAGGACAGGAAGACGACACTATGGTGGCTGGGGGCGGTTGGGGGAGAAGAGCGAAGCAGATTGTCTGCACAGGCAGAAGCTAAGGGAACAAGGAAAGGTGATTTTTGTCTGTTTCAGGATGAGGCCGATAGGAACATTCACTTGTTCATCCAGCAGACATTTACACATACTGAACATTTACTTCCAGGCACTGAGGATCTAGCAGGAGGAGCCGAGGTCCCTGTCCCCGTGAAGTTTACATTTTAGTGGGGGTGGCCCGCAATAAATAAGCACTTGATAAATACATAACTGTACATGGAGGTAGGTTCTACTAAGCACAGGTAAAGCTTGGAGAGTGCTGGGGTGGAGGAACGGTCACTGGGGGAGAGCAGGGGCCCAGGAGAGGTCTCTCCTTCCAAGAAGTGACATCTGAGCAGCCCCCCTGGGGGGGGGGGGTCTTGAGCAAGTGAAAGGTGTGATCTCTTGGATTTAAGTGGGTTTGGAAAGGTAGCAGAGAGGGAAGGGGTGAGGGGATGCCTGTTCTTCATCAGCAACAGGCCCTGGGCTGGGCCTTGGTGGCGAGGAGATGTCCTCTTCCTCTGAACCCAGAGGACTGGCTCTGAGGGTGGGTGTCAGGAGAGGGACGCGAGGGGAGGCCCTGTGGGCAAATGTGAGTCAAAGGAGGCAGAGTAGGAATAGCGGATGGAATCAGGAATGGTAGTTCCCAGTGAGTGCGGATGATACCACTTAGGGTCGGAGGTGGGATGCCGGCATGTGGTTTCAGGGGAGGAGCTGTCCTCATAGTACCAAAGTCCCGGCATCAGCCATTCCTCCAACAAAGGTTTCCAGCACTGGCTGTCTCCACAAAGCCTAGAGTCAGACCCACTTAAGTAAAATTTAAAAAAAAATTTTTTTAATGTTTTTATTTCTGAGAGAGAGAGAGAGAGAGAGAGAGAGACAGCATGAGCAGGGGAGGGTCAGAGAGAGAGGGGAGACACAGAATCCAAAACAGGCTCCAGGCTCTGAGCTGTCAGCACAGATCCCGACGCGGGGCTTGAACTCACGAATCACGAGATCATGACCCGAGCTGAAGTCGGATGCCCAACCAACCGAGCCACCCAGGCGCCCCAGACCCACTTAGGTTCAAGGCCGTTTTTGCTACCAACTGAGCTTGGGCAAGTTACTTAACCTCCCTCAGCCTGTTTCCTCATCTGAAAATGAGAACAGTACCCATTTCATAGTGCTGCTGTGAGGGAGAAACGGAATAACACATTTGGGGCAGCCAGTCACCTCCTGCCTCAGATCTAACCCAAGAGGGGGCCCCCGCAGCTGTATGTGGACAGTACACTTCTCCTTGACACCACGCTCCTGGGAAACAAGTAACAGAATTCGGCACAAGCTTCTGATCCGACCTGCACTGCCCACCTTTCCAAAGCACAGCATGATAATATGGTAGAAACTTCACCCTGCCTTCTGTCTTAGCAGGTACTGCTCCCCACAGCCAGTGATTTCCCACTGTTGAGAAACTGGTATGTGTGTGTGTGTGTGTGTGTGTGTGTGTGTCCATGCGCAGCTGGGGGTGAGCAGAGCTTCCTGGCAGCCCCTTCATTAGTCAGATGGACAATGAAGAGAGGCTGAACCTGAACCTGGCTCTTTCCCCGATGCCCCATGACCTCAAAGGATCACATATCTCTGTCAGTGTCACAAGCAAGGGCAGAGAGTGCAGGCATCATATCTTCCAGGTCACACTGTGTACTCTCGCTCTGAGGTCAGGTTCCTTCTAGGGCTACAGCGTTTGTGGAGGAAGCAAGGCATTTCATGCTTTGAGGGCATACCATCCCTGAGTGTGAGTCGGGGCTCCGGCAGTGTTAGGGGGGGATCTGGAAACTAAGAGGCAGCCAGAGCTCTAACGGGGAAGTGCAAGGGGCCCTACCCCTGGGCGGTGGGCTCAGGAAAGCTGATCCCATGGAGGGGACAGAGCAGGGGGCTGGCAAGAAATGCAGGGGGCAAGTCTGTACCTCCCGGTCATCTCTTTAGGTGTCTGGGCTTTTCTGGGAGTGGCTGGGTCGTCAGAGCCCCCACGGGTTCCCTGTCACTTCTGTAGGCCCCAACCCAGGCAAGCCACTGTGGCCTGCTGCCCTGGCTACTCTAGAGTCTCAACTTTTTAAAAAAATTTTTTTTAAATGTTTTTATTTTATTTTTGAGAGAGAGACAGACTGTGAGCAAGGGAGGGACAGAGAAAGAGGGAGACAAAATCCAAAGCAGGCTCCAAGCTCCAAGCTGTCAGCGCAGAGCCCAACGTGGGGCTTGAACTCAAGGACCACAAGATCATGACCTGAGCTGAAGTCAGATGCCCTGCCGACTGAGCCACCCAGGCGCCCCTAGAGTCTCAACTTCTGATCTCTTCCAAAGCAAAGAAGGAACCCACCTCCCATGTGGCAGCTCTGGCTTGAGGAAATGCTGAATCAGGGATACACATGGCCAAGAGCAGTGATGTCAGGCAACCTTCCCCATCCCTCCTTGGGCAGTGGTTTCCCAGGAGGTGGGATGAGAGGGCTGGCCACAGTCATATTTTACAGAATCGGTAGAAGATAAACCCTTTAATTTTTTTTCTTTGAAAAAATAAACCTCAGTGGATCTTTCTTCCCCAAAGATATGGCCTTTAGAAAACGGCGGTCCCTGTGCTTTTTTTTATAAGATACAATTTCAAAAACATATTTCCACAAAAAGAACTTTTGTTCATAAAAATGATTGATCTTTATGGCCCCACATCAGCCTGTGTCCGATCCTAACAACAGTGCTATGTGAACAAAAGGGGAGGCTTGAGCAGCACCTCTCACGCCTCGCTCAGTCTCCTCAGCCCACGGCTGTCCCCACGCGCTCCCTCCGGGCCTGCTGGCCTCAGTGTATCTGTCTGTGTTCCCCTTAATGACATCCCCAGCATGTCCATTTGTCCCCACTCTGCCCATTCGTGTGGTGTCTGTCAGCCTCTCTCTCAGAAGACCGCTGGAATGTCAGGAGGAACACTATGTGTCCGTGTGTCTGTCCTGCTGGGTGAGCAGTTTGTGGGGCTTCCTTTTTCCAGGAATAGCTGCTATTGGGATGCTTTCCAGGTCAAGGTTACCTGGAGCTGGGTGGTCAGGGGCACAGGCCCATCTGACATGGTCTGTAGTCAACAGGCAAGAAATGACGGGTGAGGGTCCTGGAGACCAGGCCAGTCCCTTCAGGAGATGTCACTGAAGATTCCATATCCCAGGGGAAAAGACAGGTCGCATGTAACCTTCGAAGTAGGCATGTTAGGGGCTGCGAAGAAAGAGGGACGTCGAGTCCAGAGGAGGCTGGCTTCTGCTTTCGCAGCCCACACCAGGTGAGACTTCAGGCGAGGGTGCAGCTGGTCCGCCTGTGAACGGGAAAGGAGCCAAAGAGAAAGATGAAGGTGGAAGGGGACTCTGTCTGGCCGTAGACCCCTCAGCCCGATGGCGGGAGTGGGGGTGGGGGTGGGGTGGGGGGACAGCTCCCTGACTTCCTAGCAACTCCTCCCCTTCACAGCCTCTTGGAAAAAGCTCCAGCCCTTGTTGCTCCGAGTCCACCAAGCAATTCCCCATCTGCATGTCATTGCGAGTGTGACATGTCATCTCAGGGTTACTGGGCCCGAGCCTGAGCCGTCCACACTGAGAATGAGGGGCAGATGACAACAGCCACTTCCCACCGATCCCGGATGGTCCTCTGTGTGTACATGCGCTCGTATTTTTCGGTGTGTGAGCATGTCCAAAACTGTGGCACGTGCTAGTGAAGCCGCTGGGCCAGACGTGTTGACACGGCGGCACCAGCTTGGCCGTGTCCTCTGTGCTGGGCTTGGCACACAGAAGTGAATAAAACACAGCCACAGCCTTCCAGATCCCCTACAATCCACTGGGAAGGCCATCCAATGGGCATCTCATCCCTGTGCGGAGGGATCAGTGCCCGGAAGTGGGAAGGACAAGGTTCAGGGAGTGGCTCAGCACAGCCTGTGGGGGAAAGAGTTGGAAGCCAACCCAGTTTCTGGATGGTGCCGACACAGGAGGAGGAGCCTAACGGGGTAAGAAGATGAGTTCAGTAGCTCAGGGCTCCCAGAAAGTGACTCCACCCTGGTGGGCCATCAGGAGATGTGCAGATGAGAGCCTGCCATGTGGGTCTGGAACTTGCGGGAAGTCCAGGGGAGAGGGACAGCTTTAGGAGTCACCGGGCACAAGTGGTGCTTGAGATCAAGCAAGTGGACCAGGTGCCTGGCACCGTGGAGAGCAGAGGGCACAGGGGCCGAGGAGGGAGGCTTTCCTCACCACCACCCTCCGACGGGTGATAGAGAGAGAGATGGAGAAGGAGTGAGCAAAGCAGCTGAAGAAAATCCAAGAGAAGATGGCATCACTGAAGCTAAGTGACGAGTGTGCTGGGGCAGGAGCGCTCAACTGTGCGCATGCGTCAGGGGCACCTGCGGACCGGCCAATCTCACACCAGGGGATGTTTGCGCTTGCCTGCCGTGTGCACCCGCGTGCACAGGGTGCCCACCTCTGAAGGCTCAGCTGGCGGGAGGGGTCCTGGCGGGGCACCTTTGGAGTGGGGCTGACCATGAGGATGCACAGACCGGTGAGGATCATGCAGGTGGGCACGGCACCGATGAGGACCTTGAGGGTCACCACCACCTGCTCCGCCTGCTCGCAGGCCCCTGCCTCATAGCCCGCAAACCTGGAGAGACAGCACCACATGCCTCCAGCTCAGATCTCACGGAGCCTGGCTCCCTGACACCCCACCCCCACACTACCCCGAAATTTGGATTCCCTTCCTGGCCAGATCAGCCTAACCATGGTGGAAGGGAGAGTGGAGGGAATGGGCTGGCCAAGGAAGAGCTCAGACAGAACTAAGAATGTGGGGTACGGCCCCCCAGAAAGGCCCCTTTCAGTCACGTGCACAAGGCAACCTGGGGCAAGCGGCTCCCCTACACTCTCCAAAGAGCAGAGCTTGGGTCCCAGATTCGTGGGTGTCCCCTGGCCCATTAGGATGGAGAACTCCACCCTCTGCCTCCCAATCCATTAGTCTTTTGTGCCTCTAGTACAGTCCAACCCTGGGACTCACTCCAGACTGAGAGTGGAGATGCCCAGGGCACCTGCACCAGAAAGCTTGGTGAATAAGACATAGGATGAGTAGAAGATGGTCTCCAGGCCTGGGCCATACTGGTGCTGCAGCTGGAAGTCATCCACCACATCTGGAAGCATGGACCTGGGGGAAGGGGCTGCAGAATTACCCCTCTTATCCCCTTGGCAGCCATCAACCCGAGAGCTCTCTGGGGACAGAGACCAAATCAGATTCATCCTTGGGTTCCTGCTGCCCAGGACCAGGACTGGCCCACAGAGAGCCAGGCCGGATGTGTGCTTGCATTTCCTCCCTTCCCCTGGCACCGCTGCCCACTGTTCCTGCTGTCTGGTGCTCTTTCAGGAGAGCTCCAGCGACTGAGCTGGTGACCGCCACCTCCTGCAGGTGGGGGAGCCCTACCCAGCACAGGCTGGGCACGGGGGGCCGGGACAACAGACGGACATGAAAGAGGGCATACCCATTAGGAAGGACATGAAGCGCCCACCCCCTCCCCTCCCCCAGCCTACCAGGGTAGCAGCAAGGACACAGAAATGCTCATGCCAGATACAAAGGCCACCACATATGCCACAGGCGCTGTGGGCACTGCCGCCAGCAAGATTGCAAAAGGCACCATCACCTGGGGAGATAGACATACTAGCTGATCCCTCCACCTGCCCCTGATTTGCTCTTTCATTCCCACCCTCACCCGTCTTTAGTAATGACCCCTGTGCCTGGTCCTAGACAAGCAAATACAGGTCAGCCCCGCCAGCACCCAGGAGGCTGAGGCTCAAAGACCACTTCCCTGACCCCCACGACCTTCGCTGCAGCCAGCCCGGCCCTTACTTCTTGCCTCACTCACACAGATCCCAAAGGCCGATGTCTTCTTCCCAAATCGCTGGAGAGCCCACTCCCACAGCGGGGTGCTCAGCACAGCCGAGACCTGTGAACAGACAGAAGCATCCCAGCCCTGGCCATGCTGCCAGTGTCTTTACCCACCCAGGTTCCAGAAGCCCTGGCTTTTAGGTGGGATGCTCGAGCTCGACTTTGCCCCCGGCTGGAACCAGTGGCTCTGAACTTTGTGACCCCAGCCCCAATCCCACCCTCTGCCAGAGTGCAGGTGACTAAAATCACAGCAGAGTCCAGAATGTTGGCCAGAATTCTGGCTACGCGTGTCTTGTCAAGAACCACATAGTTCCCCAACTCAGGTCCCTGAGTGACCTTGCCTCCGCCACCTCGTGACCACTCACCAAGATGGTTAGCACCACACCCTGGACATGGTCATGTAGCCGGGAGGCATGCGTACAGAACAGGACCAGGTAGCTCTGCTCCACCTGAGGAGGCCAATGGGAAGCAGGCATGCACAGGGAACGGCAAGAACTCAGAAGTCAAGGCCAAGGCCTACGTCTCCAGTCTGGCCTCATCTTTGGGACCTCGAATACTGGCTGCTGCTGCCGTCATACAATCCCCTCCCCCACAAAGGACACTTAGCCTTGACACAGGGATCAACACCATTCCTAGTCCATCCTCACCCTTGCCCGGCTAGTGGACCTCACCATGCATATTCTATCAGCTTCCTGGCATCGGGGCCCTGACCCTCCCAGCCCCACAAGCTCTGTCCAGGCCTCTCTCCTCCCTGCACCAAACTCTCTAGGCCCCATGCCAGCCACCATTTCTCCCTGTTAAAGCCTAGCTCTGGTTGGAGGAGCCGAGAGACAAAGCCTGGACATGCGCAGGGGCAGTATGGCTAACGCCAAGGCCAGGGGTTACCTGAATGGCTGCTGAGATGAACAGGAAGGAGATCACGAGCTTCAGGTAGGGCGGGTGCCGGACAGTGAGCGCCAGCCCAGCCAGGAAGCTCAGGCCTGGGCCTGAGGCTGGGGCAGTGGAGTCTGCCACAAGGGAAAGGGACACTTTGGCTTGGCAGAGTTCAAAACCAAAACCCATGCCCCAGAGGGATCCTGTCCCAGCTCCTGCTTCCCACACTCTGACTGTACCCCCTTACCTGGTCGCTCCTTCACCCCCAGGCAGAGCAAACAACTGCACACAGGGTAAGTCACGGCAACCACAGCGGCTGCAATGGAGTAGAGACGAATCTATGGGACAGGACGGAACTGGGGTGGGGGTGATGTCTCCCACCTGTGGAAGTGGGGACACCCCAATGGGGGCAGAGGGACCCTCAGCCCAAGCCCAAGGATGCTAGGTGCCCTGTTCCCGATCGCCAGAGCAGGAGATGGCGATCTAAGGCTCTGAACAGACCTGCTGCTGCCTCTGTGCCTCCTGCATGAATAGGAGGGCATCCATGCCACCAAGGGTCTGAGCCCTGCCTCTCTCTTTCTGTCTCATTTTTAAAGGCAAAGATTCATTGCTGGGACTTCTGCATGCTGGACCCCGAGGTTACAGTGATGAATAAGTGACTCCTGCTTCGAGTGTGGAAGACAGACGCATGAGCCAACAGTTGCAGCAGAGTGTGACTCACGATGACACAGGCACATGTCAACAACAGAAATGGTGCTACCTGTCACCCAGGGGAAGATATACAAGGAATACAATACACATAGACATGCACGGGGGTAACAGGCACCTGCTGCAGGATAAGGTTGTCTCTGGGGAAGGGAAGAAAGGAGGAGGCGACCCGGCCTCGCCTGCGTGGGGTTGCACAGGCCCCCACATTCAGGAGGGTGGCGGGGTAGGCATTACTGCTCTGCTGTCACTGTCTTGAAATGCTTGATCATTTCATCTATGAATTCGAAAGTGAAGTCTGATTGGGACAGTTCAGCTGGCCGGAACTGAAGCTTTGTGCTTTGGCTCACACGAGCCTCCACCTCCTGGGGGTGGGTTCTCAGCCTCCTGCTCACCATTCCTTTGCACTTTAGGCCAGGCCAACCCAAGGCCCTCCGGCAGGCAGAGAGTGACCTGGTATCTTTGGGGAGGGGGCCTGTGGAGGCCTGAGTGGGGGGCCTGGACGTGTATGTGGGCGGAGTCAGCCTGGGAGGGGCAAGACCACCACCTCTGACCCTAGGCTGGCAGAGCTGCACCAGCCAGGCCGAGGTCAACCTGGCGGGGCCCCTCAAGCGCTTGGACCCAAACAAGCCCTCGGATAGGGCAGGGGGCCATGGGAAGGACGGACTGTCTTCCCTGCTCTCTCTGGAGCCCTGTGTTTTCATTTTGCACTGAACGCAGGCACATTTTGTAGCTGGCCCTGCAGATGGGTCTGGGGATGGATACACGGGACTTCACTGTTATGTTCTCGTAAGTGGGCGCTGGGCCATGATGTGGCGCTATTCTCTCACCGTTGATTCTCAAACCCTGGTGAGGGGTGGAATCTCCTGGAGGGCTTGTTCAAATATAGACCGATGACCCCCTCCCAACATTTGTTTTTTTTAATTTTTAAGGTTTTGTTTATATTTGAGAGAGAAAGACAGAGTGCGAATGGGGGAAGGGGAGGGAGACAGAGACAGAGAATCTGAAGCAGGCTCCAGGCTCCGAGCTGTCAGCACAGAGTCTGATGCGGGGCTCAAACCGTGGGATCATGACCTGAACCGAAACCAGACGCTCAACCAATGGAGACACCCAGGCTACCACCCCCCCACCCCAAATTTGTAAATCAGGGCGGGGCCCAACATTTTGCCTAAGAAGTTTCCAGATGCTGCTGCTGCTGCTGTCCGGGGACCACACTTTGGGAACCACAGCTGTGTAATTTTTTTGTAAATCTGACATATTTATTAAACGAGTTGGCAAACAAGAATGATGGAGAGAAAACCGAACCCGGGGAGGAGCAGCCTGCGCCAGGACCCGAGGGTGAGGGCCACCCATGTTGGAACTCCTTTACAGTGTCCACCTGACTGGACTGGGGGAAGGGCTGGAGGCTGGGGTGCTATGTGGGAGGCTGATGCAGTACTGGGGTGACCAGGGAGATGGTGGTGGCACGAGCCAGGATGGGGCAATTGGGGATGTGAGGTCGTGAATTGATTCCATATCTGGGACCTAAAACATGGATAGGATTTGGTAATGGGTTGGGGTGGGGGTAATAGTTGGAGAGAGAGCAGCCAATGATGGCTCCTGGGACTCTTCTGGATAATGCTATCATTTCTCAAGGGAAAGTTAGCTGAAATTGATGGATGAAATAGATGCACATCCCTTAGTTGCTGAAGACAGATCTGGTTTGTGGGAGACGGAAGGGGACTGCTCCCAGGTCTCCCTTGTCCTTGAACACCGGGGGTGCGGCTGGGGGCGAGCCACCTATTCAGGGCTGGGTGGGACAGGTCACAGGAGGAGCTTCACCCTGAACTCTGCAGGGACACCAGACCCTCTCCTCGGCCCTCCGCCTCTGCCTGTGGAGAGGCACCCCTCACCCCTCCTGGGTGACGTAGGCACTCACTGCGTCGGGGGAGACGGCGACCGGTCCGGGGAGCGCGGCGTCCTCGCACCTGTGCGGCCCGTGGGCGCCCGATACGATGAGCCCATGGACGGCGGCTCCCATCAGCGTCCCGGCCATCTCCATGGTCATCCCTGGAACAGAGCGGGGCCAGTGACGGGCGCTGGCGCCCCGGGGCGGCGGCCTCCCGCCGGGTCCCACGCCCGCACTCACTGTATGCAGTGGCCAAGTCCCGCTCCTTCGGGCAGGGGGTCAGGAGCATGGTGAGCGCCGCGTAGGGCACCTGAAAGAACTGGGCGCCCAGGCCGGGCTCAGGCTGGACCCCTGGGCCCCTCGGCCCAGACACGGCCTGTGGGGGCGGGAGGGGGGCGTGGGGGCGGGGCGGGCCCGCAGCCCCCAGGCCCAGCCGGGCCCCCCCACAGCAGGCTGGCACAGCCCCCTTGAAGCCCCGAGGAAGGGCTTAGGTGCGGGCAGTGGGGCCCTGGGGATACCTGTCCTCTCCCCTCCACACAGACTTCACAGTGGCCCCTGGCCCACTCTGGGGTTCGGGGAGGCCAGGCCCGGGGAGGGGAGCCACTTGCTTACCGTGGCCAGGGCCTGGAACAGGGAGTAGAAGGTGGTATACCAGAGGCCCCGCAGGCTGGTGAAGGGGGGCAGGAACCACAGGAGGAAGTAGGCCGCGGTGATGAAGGGTGTACAGCCCAGCACCCTGTGGAAGAACGGCCGGGGTAGGGCACCAGGACAGGGGACACTAAGGGCAAACCTGGAGCAACCACACTCCTCTGGGCAGAAGTCCGCTGTCCCCAAGAGGGGCCCTGGGCGCCGGTGGGGAGAGGGGGCTGCTGGGGTGGGCAGGCAGTGGGGACAGTTGGCTGCAGAACTCTGGGGCCCTCCCCTGTATCCGGGCCTCCAAGGCCTCCAGCCCACCCAGGCCACAGGTAGACCCCTGGACCCGGCCTGGGAGCCTTGGAGGCTTTGTGCAGCCCCGGGACACGAGGTGAGGGGAAGTCCCCAGGAACCTCTCTGAAGTCCTGAGCGGCTCCAGCTGGGCCTGACCTAGTCCGGTGCCAGCACCTGTTAGGGTCCTGTCCTCTAACCAGCCACTGGCTTTCCGCGGGGGCTGGGAGTCAGGATCTGCGGGGCTGGGGGGCTGCTCACCAGGGCATGAGTCGTCCAGACCCTGTTCTCCTACTTCTGTTGATGAAGAACCCAGCCACAGGGTCGGCGGCTGCCCCAGACACCTTTCCTCCAAACAAGACAAGTGACACCTGGGCAGCAGGGATCTGAAAAGCACAGGCCGGGGGAGGGGGGGATGGCCAAGGCTTGGTGGTGTCAGAGAGGGGTGTCTGGGCCTGCCCACCTGCCAAGAGAAAGTGCTGGCAACCCCGCAGGGGGCAGGGCCGCAGTGGGAAGGTCTATTTGGTCTCTTTCCAGGGACCCAAATCCAGAAGGCTCTAAGGGGCGCCTGAGCTGGTGAAGAGAGGGGCCGGGGGAGGAGCTGACAGCCACACACTGGCACACTCCTGTTATCACTCACGCCCAGTCACTTCTGGAGGGAGCTTGGGGGCCCTCATCTGAGGTGGCTCAGTGCAAGAAGGGTGACAGAGGTAGGCTTTTTGTGTCACAATGCAAACATTTTATTCGTTTTTCTGATTACATAAATTACACACTCATTATAAAAAACATTCAAATAGTACAGAAAAATACTGAGCAAAGCTCATCTGAATCCCCGCCCCCCCAATCCTGAGACAACTGCCAGAGCATTTTGGTGATCATCTGTTCAGGCATTTATTTATGTGCATTCAGAATTTATAGTTTTACCTAAATGAGATCATATCAGCATCATTAAAAAAAATCATGGGCACTATATTAGAACCCTTTTTTCCTGCTTCCCCTCTGTCTTCCACCATTTCCTCCTTTAGCCAACATTAACAGCCTGTGGATATCCTTCTGTAATGTATTTTCTCCAGGCTTGTGTTTTAATCCTGTATCGTCAGGTATTTACACATACTCATGTACCTGCATATATGGGGCACATCTTTGTTTTGGGAAAATGGCATCATTCGTATCCTCTTCTCTAACAGCAACTTTCCTCACTTGACGGTACATCATGGAAATCCCTCCAAGTCAACTGGTATAGATCTAGCTCATTCTTTTGAACGGCTACGTAACAGTCCATTATGTGGCTATCACGCAACTTATCATGCAACTACTTCTGTATTGTTTCCTGATTTTTCACTACAAACAGCCTGCAGTAAACATCCTCCAGGAGGTTGCCCTCAAAGGCATCTGGCTGCCTGTCAGGTTTGGGACAGAAGTGCCACCCACCAAGGGAAGTACAGGTAGGGGTGGAAGAACAGGCTACCAAGGAAGATGGATGGGGGCGGGGGGAGGGGGGGGCTGCGCTGCTGCCCAGACTCACCTGTGCTACATCGAGCAGGAAGAGTTGCAGGTAAAAGGCTGTGGCGCTGGAGGCCACCTGGTTGGGGATCCCACCAATGCCATAGCACACCTTGGTACAGAATGAGAGGTGACCAGCTCTGCTGACCTGGGGGAGACACAGGAGCTAAGCTCTGCACCCGCATACATACGTGCACGCACGCGCGTGCGCGCGCACACACACACACACACACACACACACACAGTTCCCCACACCTTCCTGATCTCCATAAGCATCTTGGGGTCCCTATGTCTGGAGGGCTTTTCCAGTAACCTCTCAATCCTAATTTGCCCTAAATCATCTTAAAAGGAAGTGAGACAAAGGGAAAAAAAAAAACAAACCCTAAACCATGACCTCTCAAAGATTCCACAGTGGAAGTTCTTCCCTATACTTCCCTCTCTGTGCTTCCTGCTACAGTCTGTTTTATTTTGAGTCAGCAAGCCAGAGACAACTGGGGGGCCAGGACGCCCCCAACTTTGCCACCAACTTCCGGCGTGACCTTGAATCAATCGCTGAATCTCTTTAAGCCTCTTCTGTCAAATGGACTATTCCTGCCAACTCCAAGAGTTGTTTTGATGAGGAAATGAAGCTGAGTGTTATTTGCTCCAGGAGCTGATTGTTTCATGTTCAGGGTTTCTGCCAGTCATTGAACCACTGGGAGCCTGATATGGCTGTGGCGAATCTATACCACAGATAGCAGCAAACACTACATATCCAAGTTGCTTTCTTTCTTTTCCTGGAGACTGTTCACCAGCCCACCACTGAAATAAAGCATTGTTTATGACTCCAAATAGGTGTATCTCATAAGCCCTAAGAGATCCAGAGAACTCCAGACTGGAATATTCGACTGCCCACTCAGAGCCCCACATGGCTGCCTACCCAGCATTTCAGCTTAGCATGGGCAAAATACAGCTCCTGATTTCCACCCATTGTCTAAACCAACCTCTAACCCAATTGTCCCTATTGCATTAAACGGCCTCGATGTCCACTCAGCAGATCAGGCCACAAACCTAGGAGCCCTCGATTTCTCTTTCCCAGTCCCCCCACCAAATCCATCAGTGGCCTCCTAGGTGGCTTCCCTGTTTCTGCTCTCGTTCCCTACTGTCCACTCCCTATCTAGTCGCGTAACATAAATTTAATCATGTCTCATCTCTGCTTAATACCCTCCCACAGCTTGCCATTGCAGTCTGAATGAAGTTCTGTGTCCTTCCCAGGCAGCCTACAGGAACCCACAGATTCATAGCTTTCCTCAACCATGGTAGCTTCCTTGCTATTCTTCAAAATGACCATGCCCACTGCTGCCTCAGGGCCTTTGCACTTTCTGATCCTTCTGTCTAGAAGGCTCTTCCTCTGAGTCTTTGCAGAGCTGACTCCTTGGCATTCAAGTCTAAGCCTGAATGTCATCTGAGAGAAGCCTTCCCTGACTACCCAAGTCTCTCTCAATTATACTTACTACCTGATGTGTTCTCATTCATTTCCTGCCTCTCCGCACAAGAATATAACTCTCTGAGAGGAAGCACTATCATTTTTTATTCACTACCATGTCCCTAGTACCTAGAACAATGTTTGGCATATGCTCAATATATATTTGTTGAAGAAATAAACTATGTAAAAGGCTGTTTCTTCAAAAGATGCTGGGAATCCTTCCTTTTCATCCTTTGCTTGGCGACGTGAGGGGGAGTGGAGGGGACTGTAACTTCACCCATCTTAGTATCTTGCAGGACATCCCAAATGGGCCCTTCTGAAAGGAAGTTCTTGCTCGATAAGCGTTTATAATCTACTTTGCACACTCTTCCTATTTGCAGAAGAAAACCACACGCAGAGCAGGATGCGATCTCCTTTCCCGACACTGGTGTGAACATTATTTCAACTTCCAGAAAATTTTAGTAACAGGCAGAATCCAACATGATAACCCACCTCACCCCATGCGACTCCTGTTTCCCGCTGAACACCCCAAGCAAGCTTCTGTCACATAGAAGTCACTTGAAAGATAGAGAAATTGCAGCTGAAACTATCTTGGAACCTTGAGGATGAAAGTTTCATAAGCCTTTCCCAGTTAACTGAGCACCGGTTTTGGTGCTAGACTAAGTTGGATTCAACTTCTGTCTGCCACTTCTAGCAGGGCAAGGTCCTTAAAAGTGGCTGGGCTTCATTTCCTCGTGTGTAAAACGGGGTAAAAAAAACACACCTCAGGAAGTTGTTAGAATTAAATGCTGGCATGTCAGTTTTCCCTCTTGCCATTAATCTCACCCCAAATTTTCCTGGGAAATGAGGGTCCTCAGGGGACCTCCCTCTCTCTCTTTCTTGGGGGCCACAAATCCTTTGCTCTGAGGCGTCTGAGAGTAAGCACTGAGTCAACACAGGGAACCCAGGTGGTGAAGTGAAGCCACGACGGAGGCACAGCGCGGAGCAAGCAATGGGCCTGTGCATGCAGCAGGGAGCTGGCCGAACCCCTCTCCAGCACGGCCGCATGCGCCCCGCCCGGGCCAGGCAGGAGACGGGGAAAGACAGCACACCCCTGCCTTCCCACCTGCTCTCTACCCTCCCTGGGGAGCCTGGCTGCCAGGAAGTCCTCTCTGGGGGCCCAGGGTCCAAGGCAGCCTGGTGAGAGGCCCGCTGAGCCTGCACCCTGTGCCAGGAGCCTGGGGTGGGGGGCAGCCTCTCACACACACCTGGAAGTCCCACCTGCCCAGGGTGCAGGGGCGCCCTGGAAAGACCTGGAGTGTGGAGGACAAGGGCCCTAGACCGGGAGTCGGGAGCCCAGAGACCGGCCCTGGCCCCGCCAGCCTGACGAATGAACCAGCTGAGATGAATCCAGCAGGTTACTTCACTTGTCCGGGGCGTCCGAGTACCCGGCCTCTCGGTTCTCAACTGTCCAAGCCCGGGGGGGTCGGAAACCTGGAGCGCCGGCGCCCTTCCCTCCGCCTCCCGCGCGCAGCCCCAGCTCCCCGCTCGCCCTCGCCCTGCGCTCACCGAGCCGCGCTCCGAGGTGCGCGCTGCCGGCGGCGGCGGGGGCGCCTGGACGGCCCGGGTCCCGGGCGCTCCGGGGGACGAGGCCATGGCGCGCGGCAGCTCCGCCCGCGGCCGCTGCCCTGCGGCGTTATCGCCGGGCCGGCGCCGCGGGCCCCGCGGGGAGGGCGGCCCCGGGGCCGGCCGAGAGGGCGCGGCGCGGCGAGGGGCGGGAAACCGCAGAGTGCTGTTTCGTTGCCACAAAGGCGAAATGCCTGGAGCCCAAATTCGCGGGGGCGGGGGGCATGGCCGGGAAGCCCCTCGGGACCGCTTTCCGCGGGGAAGGCCCCGGAAAGAGAGGGAGGGCCGGCGGCGGTTGGCGCTCAACACGCCCTGCTAAACCTGGCGGTGAAAGTCACCAGATCAATTTATTTGGGAAACGAAGCTATAGAACGGACTTGTTTCGATTAAGATTGTGGCTGAGAGGCTTACAACCTGTCAAATTTAACACAAGACGCCGGAAACACACGCTGCCCAGCCTCACGCCTGTGGGATGGTGGAGCCATGTAGCTAAGTTCTGGCCGGTGGATGGCTGCCCAGCAGTGTACACGCAGTGTTCCAGAAGAGTCCTCACAGGGGAAGGGGTCACATCACACAGTGATAACGCACCACAGACCTAAGTGTAAAGGCTAAAACTATAAACCACCTCGAAGAAAACAGGAGCAAATCTACAGAACCTTGGGATAGACGGCTGGCTCTTAGGACACCACAGGCTGGACTGCTTCTAGATGAACCACTGTGTTGCAAACAACCCAACAAGTGAAAAGATAACCCACTGAATGGGAGAGATACCCCCAAATCATAAAGGCTGGTACTGGAATATGTAAAGAACTCTTACAACTCAACAATAATAAGACATTTTAAAATGGGCAAAAGATTTCAAGAGATCCTTCTCCAAAGATAGACAAAAAATAAGCACATGAAAAGACGCTTATGCCATTAGGGAAAACCAAAATGATAAGACTGTACAGCACTGCATGGCTAGGATTAAAAAGACTGTCGATAACAAGCATTAGGGAGGAACTGGAGAAATCACACATTGCTGTGGGCATGTAAACTGGTGCAGGTGCTATGGAAAACATTGGTAATTCTTCAAAAAGTTAAACATGGAATTAGCATATGACCCAGCAATTCTTCCTAAGTATATATCCTAGAAAAAAAACATGCTCACACAAAAGTTCACATCAAGATTACTTAAAATAACCAAAAAGTGAAAACAACCTAAAAGTCCTTTAACTGCTGGATAAATTGTGGTAGGTATATCCATACAGTGGACTATTATTCCACAATAAAAAGACACAGATGAACCCTGGAAACATTAAGTGAAAGGACGGGAGACCATATACTCTAGGATTCCATGTACACAAAATGTCCAGAATAGGTAAATCAGTGGACAGAGCATAGAACTGAGGGTAGTGAATATAGGGTTTCTTCTAGACAATGAAAACATTCTAAATTAGATTGTGGTGATCCTGTGGCTATACTAAAAGCCACCAAATTGCACAATTGGGTGAATAATAAGGTAGATTACATCCCAATAAAGCTGTTGTGTTCTTGTTTGTTTGCTTTTCTGTCTTTAAAAGGAAAGGTGTGTGCCTCTTCCCTTCTTCACACTGGATGAAATGCCAATGTGGTGACTGGTGTGAGGGCAGTTATCTTGAGACCTGGGGTGAAGTGATGCTATTTGGTGATAAAGAGCACAGGAGTCTGACTTTTCATGAAGTGGTTCTACTAGCTCTGAATTGCTTCTATCAGAATTTTGCATGGAAGTAAATAACATTTTATTTTGTAAGCCACTATTAGTTTAGATTTTCCATCACAGCTAAATATAATCCTCAAGTATATACTACCCAGTCTAAAGCAAGTCATTCCATTTTCTATGCCTCAATTCTTTTTTTTAAATTGAGGTATAACTGATACAGAACAGTATTAGTTTCAGGTGTACAAAGTAGTGATTCATTATTTGTATATACTGCAAAATATGCCTCAATTCTTTAACCTACAAAATGTGTACCTTCTGTTTCCTTGACTGCCGCCTTACCAACAGTTAAAGAATAATTAGATGATGCATGTGCTAAATATTTAATTCTTTCGAAACTAAAACTCAAGCTGAAATTTCTTTGAATAATCTACCTTTACATACATCATCTTATATGCATCTTTAGGCCTAGGAATACTTCATCCCCATTATGTGTCCTGTGTTGCACATACTACCACAATTTTAATTTTGAGAGAAAAGAAGTAAAAAAAAAATAAAAAAGCCCTACATCTTTTTTTTTGCACAGAATTATAATGAAAACAAATATAAGGCATTTGTTCCTAACAGATATTGTTCCTGAAATGATGTTCTTAATATAAATTTTTAAAGACAAATATGTTAGAGAGTGCTCGCTTCGGCAGCACATATACTAAAATTGGAACGATACAGAGAAGATTAGCATGGCCCCTGCGCAAGGATGACACGCAAATTCGTGAAGCGTTCCATATTTTTCGGAAATGGTGGGGGAAAGGGAGAGAGGCAAACCATGAGAGACTCTTGAATGCTGACAAAAACTGAGGACTGATGGATGTGGGGGGGAGGGGGGGATGGGCATGAAGGAGGGCACTTTGGGGATGAGCACTGAGTGTTATGTAGAAACTAATTTGACAATAAACTATTTGTAAAAAAAAAAAAAAAAAAAAAAGACAAATATGTTAGAGATAAAACAGTAGGATTACAATAACCAAGAAGCCTGCCTTTTAATTAAACTAAACACTGAATCACTTAAAAATATCTGAAAGGATGAACACCAAAATGTTATTAGCGGTTATGTTTGAAAGGTGAAGTAGGTGATTTAAAGATCATTTCAGCATATCTGCATTTTCTAATTTTCCATAATGAATATGAATTACCTGTGACAAAATATTTAAAACAAATGACAGCCAAGTATTAGTCTACTGAATCAGCCACTTCTATTTGAGGATGTGTTCGATGAGCAATTTTTTAATTAAATGGTTTGTACTTAGAGAAAGAACATCTAAGAAGTGAACTCTATCAAGGACCTTTCGTGCTAGTTCAACTCAGGACACAAATAGTTTTTAAAAGAACCTACCCCTGGGTATTAAAAATATCACATCTTAACACTTCTGAGTATTCAATGAAAATAACACTGATGAAAGTACCTGACAAACAAAAGGCACCTAATAAATGTTGATTCTCAAACTGAAGGACTTCAGCAAATAAAAATAAGAAACGCATCAAGATATAACTATTTTATAACAGACAAATGTAGATTATTTCATACAGTCCTTTTAATGAATTATTATTTCATTCTAAAGACAACAATTCTTCAACCATTAGCAAAAAGATTGCTTTTAAAATAAGGCACTGAAATAGATGCAAACATACTATATTTTAACACAATGAAACACAATGAAAAGTGTTCTGAATGAGAAAAGTATACAAAATAAATAAGACCAGTTTTGTAACCTGCACAATGCATAGTAAGTTAACCATTATATTAGAATCTTTAAAACCAGAAATGTATTTCTCTGTATCAGCCTTAACGGTGATTCTCAAGAAACTGATTGATGAGTTCTGAAACAACTATACAGGTCAAATTGTGTTCTACACCCAAAATGTTTGATTATTTTCAAGTCTGCCTTCCCTTGCCATGCCAAATTCAGTTTATATTTTCTAAAGTATGTTTTGTATATCCTACATATTTAATTAACAACTTTACAATTTTTAACTTTAAGGTAGACAGCTTTATCAGATGATTCTCATTTTAGAAAACCTCTAGGAATGTTATTCCCATTAATGAAAGTTTCACAGTTACAAAAACGAAGGTTACTGTTGATGATGGGTCTTTATAGGAACTTCTCACTGGGGTGTATTCTACATGTACATACAAGAAAGCCTCCAATGCATCTTGTGGATAAATAATTATAAACTGGAAAATCCACAAAGAAGGCTTTTCTATAGGTACAAGAAAAATATTTCCAACAAGAAGCCCCTTTATAGACATAAATGCAGAATCACATACTGACTAAATTATAAAATGCTTCATGATAGGTCTAGGGAAATATTTCCTTATAGACTGAAAAATACACTAACAATCATTTTATATCTGAAAGAGTTTGCGGATTTTTGCCATCCTCTCATTTCTTATCAAAACACCATTATTTTTGTTTCATTGGAGAGAGGGTTCTAACAGCGGTAAACATTACTGACTGTATTTTCTATTATAGATCTGTTCATTTCTGAGAGTAAATGAAAAAGCAAAAGGCTCTCCTTTGCGCTTTCTCTCTTCCTAATAAAAAGACAGGCCTCTACCATTTGTAAGGCTGGGTGCTGGAAAAGCAAGCACTCTTAATATGGACCTCAAACAGAAGGCATATCTTATAAACCAGGTCACCTCGCTACGTGTATTTCCCTCTTGTTATTCCTGAGCTTCTAGGAAGAATCTCACTTAAACGTTCCAGCCTTATCTCAGCTCCGCTTAGAGAAGATGAAGCACAGGTTTCTATCATGATTAGTTAAGAGTGAGAGGGGAACAGGCTAAGAACCAACTGTGGGAGATAAGGACACAACGTAAAGGTTTAGAAGTCCCATTTCAGACCCAGTGGGAGTCTTCCACTCTTCGTGGTGAATGAAGCACGCAGGTTTTATTTCTTAGGGTGGAAGCACAGTGTCGAATTTCCTGAACACAGGTACTTCTACTGTGTACCTAAGAATCACTTGAGATTAAAACTGCAGAGATCTGGGACCCATCCCAGATACAATAAATCAGAATGTGTATGGTAGGTGCCTGGAACAGATATTTCAAAATGCTTTCCAAGTGATTCTTAGACAAAGGTTTGATAATTATTGTGAACCACTGCTTTGTAAGAATGGTTCTTTCAAGAGGTCCACAAGTCAAAACTATTTTCATAATCAACTAAGACATTATTTGCTTTTTTTTTTCATTTTCTCATGAACAGACAGTAGCGTTTACTAGCGGCTACATAGTGTGCAGTATCACAACAGATTGGATGTGGTAGCAGCCGTGAGATTCCATCTGTGCTCTTTAAGTCAGACGGTAAAGACAGTTGCAAAAAATGGAACACGATGCTGCTTTTTTCACTAAAGCTTTTTTAGAAAATGCATATTCATTAAAATACGGTTTATACTAAGATGTGCTTATTATTTTATTGAATAAATATTTTATAACTTTTTACTTTCACTGTCATCTATATAACACACATAAACAAAGGGTCTTGAGGCCAGAAGGTGTAAGAACTGCTCTTTCTGGCCGACCCCACTGCCCCATGGGCACTACTGCTCCAGGGAGGGCTACTTGGTCTCCTGGCACATTCAACGTACATTTTGCCTTAAATAAGATTCAAACAGAGAATTTGCAAAAAAGCTTCTTAAACTTACGTTTAGGCAAGGGAATTCAACCTGAAAATGAAATACTGAAGTCTAACTAGTTTTAGTTAGATGTTTAAGATAAACAAAATATGTTTCCCTTGGTGGCATCAGAATGTAAATAAATAAATAATCCTTTAATGTATACACAGGTCGACTCTGATATATGGAACAGGAAACCGTACTTTATGTGATGTATTTACAATATATTAGCAATGTGCCAACACAGGCGTTAGAACAGATTCTACACAAGCGGTAGCAATGAAAGGTTTACTCAAAATGTTAGCTAAAAACAAAATCCTAATTTTCAAAAGAAAAAAAAAGGGATGAACTAGGATTCCTGGATAGAAATTTTAGTACTGACATTATACTATGGTGCACAATCTTATTCTTAAATGAAAATACATTTTAGATACCGTGCCAAATTAATATTTGAGTATACCTTGTCATTAGAGAATGAAAACTGAGAACACTTCAAGGTTCGGGCATAGTTGTGGTGAAAGCAGCTTCTTCTAGCCTTCTGACTGTTACCCAGGTATAAAATAATTACACTGATGCTTTTAAGTTGCCATGTATAAATTTCTTAATGTATTGCTATTTTAAAAATCTTAGATAGCTGTCATCCAAACAAATCATGGCTGGTTGGGACCATCTGAATGAAAGATGTGTGAATACATTTGCTAATTTATACCATATTTAGATTCTATAGGATATAATGATTTAATATATGTTATTGTTGAATAACTGGTATTTGAAAATAAATAGTTTTCTGAGTAGCCTCTTGGAAAAGTGCATTGAATATAGTTTCCAGTCACAGTTTACATTCCTAACTTGTACTTATTTAAAATCTTCTCATCAGAAGGGAGTTAAATAGCACTCAAACCAAAAGTCCAGCAAATCAGACTTCCTTTCCCTCATTTTGGTTTGTATGTTCATTTACAACCATCATTTCTCTGCAAACTTTCCACTTAGTGTATCAAAAATCAAGGTTATGAAAGTTCTCTAAAAGGTTCAGCAGTATTTTGGAGTCTCTGAATGATTACAGCATTCTGTAAATCTGCTTCTTCCAGTGTGAGTGTTTCATCTAGCAATCTGAGGGAAGGAAGAGCTGTGGCCAGGGAAAAGGGAGGGCTTCTCTGGGATCCTTGGTATTTTTCAATGAAGTCTTTGATGTGGCTTATCCTGTAAAATAGTACAGACTATTAACATAATCTTATGAAAATGCGAATTAGTTAATGTGAGGTAATAACCTGAAGATATCTAGCTATGTTCATATATAGAACAGTGAAATTATGATGATAGACTGATCTGGGCTATTTTTTTTTTTAATGTTTATTTATCTTTGAGAGAGAGAGGGAGAGAAAGAAACACACACACACAATCCAAAACAGGCTCCAGGCTCTGAGCTGTCAGCACAGAGCCCAATGCAGAGCTTGAACTCACAAACTGTGAGATCACGACCCGGGCCAAAATCAGATGCTCAACCAACTGAGCCACCCACGTGGCCCAGGCTATCTTTCTTAAAAGTTGACTCTGGATAGTAAGGAATTACTATGATTTATCTTTAGTGTGATGAGGGCATTATGGTTACATTCATTTATTTATTTACTTATTTATTTTTATTTTAGGGGGAGAGAGCAAGAGCACTCAAGCAGAGGAGAGGGGCTGTCTTAAGCAGGCTCCATGCTCAGCACAGAGCCCTATGCAAGATTCCATCCTAGCACCCCAGAATCATGACCTGAGCTGAAATCAAGAGTTGAATGCTCAACTGACTGAGTCACCCAGGCGTCCTGTATTCTTCCACTTTTATTTCTTTATTTTTTAAATGTTTATTTTACTTATTTTTGAGACACACACACACACACACACACACACACACACACACGAGCAGGGGAGGGGCAGAAACAGACAAGGACATAGAGAATCTGAAGCAGGCTCCAAGCCGCCAGTGCAGAGCCCAACATGGGGGCTCAAACCCACAGTGAGATCATGACTTGAACTGAAGTCGGACGCTTAACTGACTGAGCCATGCAGGTGCCCCTGGTTACATTTTTTTTTTTAAATGTTTTATTTATTTCTAGGAGAGAGAGAGAGAGACAGCATGAGCAGGGAAGGGTCAGAGAGAGAGGGAGTCACAGACTGAAACAGGCTCCAGGCTCTGAGCTGGCAGTCAGCACAGAGCCCGACGCGGGGTCCGAACCCACGGACCGCGAGATCATGACCTAAGCGAAAGTTGGACGCTTAACCGACTAAGCCACCCAGGCGCCCCGCCCCTGGTTACATTTTTAAAGAGTACTTATCTTTTAGAAACGTATTGAAATATTTACAAAGGAAACTATACAAAGTCTAGGATTTGTCTGAAAATAGTTCAGTGGAACTGAGTAAGGATCATTCAATCTTCTGTGTGTGTGTACACACACGCATACACACACCTGAAAGGCTCTATAATAGAAAGTTTCTATACTTACATATCTGGCTCTGAATGGATCAGAAATGGTCATACTAGTAATTCTAGACAGACACAGGCTGTAATCTCTTAAATACCAGGTCATGCTGTGTTTCAAACAGAATTAGGAAAATTCTCAACTTGGTGTGGGTAGAATTTCAGTTAGCATAAGAAACACTATAATGTAATATATTTGCAATTTTGGAGGCAGCTCAAAGCTATATTCACCTAAGTATATGTGTACATGTTTAGAGAGACACATACAGAATTCATTACAACTAAGATGCCACTGATTTTAAGACACATCATTTAATGTATAGCTTTAAAAAAATCAAATTATGACAAGATATTTTCTCAACACCTAGAATTTTTATATTTATAAAGAGCACTATTAATTTCACATATTTTTTTTAAAAGATTTTTTTCATGTTTTTAATTTATTTCTCAGAGAGAGAGAGAGAGCGAGCACGTGAGCAGAGGAGGGTCAGAAAGAGGAGGAGATACAGAATTCGAAACAGGCTCCAGGCTCTGAGCTGGCTGTCAGCACAGAGCCTGATGTGGGGCTCAAACTCACAAACCGTGAGATCATGACCTGAGCCAAAGTCAGACGCTTAACTGACAGAGTCACCCAGGTGCCCCCACATAAATATTTCTCAAATCAAGCACCTGCTTCCACTAGAATAAAATAGTTAAGCCATTACTAATACTTGAACATTATTCAGACTTGGATCCTTTGAATCACTTTTGATTCAATTGTTAATGTACATATTTTCCCACATAACAACAGCTCTCTGTATTATCAGGTGTTTTGGTATAAAGGATTTCTTTAAAAAAAGACTACTGTCAGGGAGCCTGGGTGGCTCAGGTCATGATCTTCTGGCTTGTGGCTTCAAGCCCCAGGTTGGGCTCTGTGCCAGCAGCTCAGAACCTGCTTCAAATTCTGTCTCCTTCTCTCTCTCTGCCCTGTCCTGTTTGTGCGTGTGTTCTCTCTCTCAAAACTAAATAAACATCTTTTAAAAATTTGTAAGACCACTGTCTCTGGGATATTTTTTGTTCAGCTGACACTATTCTGCATGGTTTGCAGCAGATACTAAGGCAAAGACAACTGTACAATGATTGCCATATGGCCAACCATGGATTTTAGAGCACACCTCCATTCCAGAGATGCTAAGATGTGAAAAAATGTGCAACTCAAAAGTAGTGAAATATGGCATATCACAAAAGGCAGAATACTCCCTATCACTTCATTAGAGTTCATTAATTGCCACTCTCTTAAACCTGTGTAGTTTATCAAAAAAGTCTCATATATTTCTTCAGGTACCAAAATTAGATAACTAAAGGCTAAATAAAGCTAATGGCAAATAATATAAATACAAAAAGAAAACAGTAAAAATTGTGGTGCCTGGGTGGCTCAGTCGGTTAAATGCCTGATTGGCTCAGGTCATGATCTCATAGTTCGTGGGTTTGAGCCCCACGTCGGGCTCTGTGCTGACAGGTAGCTCAGAGCCTGGAACTTGCTTCAGATTCTGTGTCTCCTTTCTCTGCTCTTCCCCTGCTCATGCGCTCTCTCTCTCTCTCAGAAATAAAGACATTAAAAAAATTAAAAAAAAAGAAAACAATAAAAATTAAAGGAAGCATGGAGCAAAAATTTTAAACATATATTGTGATCTCTATGATGTGATTAGAATAAAGAAATGCAAATCTAAAAATCTATAAGAGGATAAAAAATAACAAATACAGCTCAAAAGGAGGTTAAAAAAAAGAGCAATGAAGAATACAAAGCCATGGGGTGAAGAAAAAACAAACAGCAAGAAGGTAGCCTTAAGCCCAACTAGTTCAGGACATTACAGATCACTGTAAAAAGTAGACTAAATGTTCCAACTTAAAAACAAAGCCTGGAGTGAGGAGGCACCTGGCTGGCTCAGTCCAAGGAGCACATGACTCTTGATCTCAGGATCATGAGTCTGAGCTCCAAGTGGGGTGTAGAGACTACTAAAAATAATAAATAAACTTTAAAAAACATTAAAAAAATTAAAAAGTAAAAATAAAAACAAAGCGTGGGCCACCTCCGCTGTGGACTCAAGACAGACGGCAGTCGCTGCGGGGCTCTGGTAGGCCACTCAGGGCAGCGAGCAGGGTCAGCCGGGTCGCCGGGAGCTGCCACCCCAGCAGCAGCAGAAACGCACTATGGCAGCTGAGCCCGGAGAGGCAGTGACACACCCCACAGAAGACAGGTTCCTGAGCCGGGACTCGCGCCCGCCCGTCCCCCCCACCCATCTCCTGTACAGGGACAGAGCAGAAGGGGCGGATATAGATCCAGTGCCATAGAATGATGGCCCCAATCCACTGGTCCAGATCATTTATAGTGAAAAATTTAGAGATGTTTATGATTATTTCTGGGCTATTCTGTAGTGTGATGAAAGAGTTAAATGATCGCTCTATCTATCTATCTATCTATCATCTATTTTTGAGAAAGAGAGACAGGCAGACACAGACTCTTGAACTCACTACCAGTAAGGTCAAGACCTGAGCTGAAATTAAGTTTGATGCTTAGCTGACTGAGCCACCCAGGTGCCTTGAACTGAATGAGCTTTTAAACTAACCAGAGATGCTACTGAGTTAAATGTGGTGGCATTTTTGGGAAGTTTTCTTTTTTTCTTTTAAATTAAAAAAAAAAAAATTTTTTTTAATGTTTTTTATTTATTTCTAGGAGAGAGAGAGAGAGAGACAGCGTGAGCAGGGGAGGGTCAGAGAGAGAGGGAGTCACAGACTGAAACAGGCTCCAGGCTCTGAGCTGGCAGTCAGCACTGAGCCCGACGCGGGGCTCGAACCCACGAACCGCGAGATCATGACCTGAGCGAAAGTCGGACGCTTAACCGACTAAGCCACCCAGGCGCCCCTAAAAAAATTTATTTCTGAGAGAGAGAGAGACGGTGTGAGCAGGGGAGAGTCAGAGAGAGAGGGAGACACAACACCTGAAGCAGGCTCCAGGCTCTGAACTGTCAGCACAGAGGTCGATGCGGGGCTTGAACCCACAAACCGTGAGATCATGACCTGAGCCAAAGTCAGACGCTTAACTGACTGAGCCACCCAGGTGCCCCTGGGAAGTTTTCTTAAAGTCACTTCAAAAATACTGACGTGAGGAAGTGAACAACATCACTGCAGGAATTGAGGAACAATCCAAAAATTATCAGATTTGGCATCACAGTCGTTAGTGGAATGACTAAAAGATCCATCTCAGAAGCTTGAGTTTATTGCTGATATTTAAAATTTTTTTTTAATGTTTATTTATTTTGAGAGAGAGAGAATCCCAAGTGGGCCATGAACCCCTATATCATGAGCTGAGCTGAAATCAAGAGTCCAACACCTAACTGACTGAGTCATTCAGGCACCCCTATGGCTGATATTCTTAGTCAGGATGCAAAGAATTATACCTGGCAACATTAACAATGGGTTACTCAGAAATATAAACCTTGTGGCGCTTGAACTGACAGCCCCCAGATCAAAAGCTGCATGCTCCACCAACTGGGCCAGCCAGGTGCCCCTAGACCAACTTCTTAAGGAGGATATGAGAAATAACTCTGTCTGCAACCAAAGATATTTCATAATTTCTTAACACCACTGGCCCCAGTGATCATGTTATTTTGGAGACAGAAGTCCAGTACACTCTGGAAATGGTCAAACCAGTACCACATCATGAAAGCCCACACAACTATCTGAAAGGGATTTTATAGGA